GCGTCATCACATCCGTGCCGTCTGGCAAGCAAACGCACGCCATGAGTGAATTGGAACCGCCTGCGAGCCAAATGAGCCTCATGCATTGCGTGTTGGAGAGCAACACTGTCTCAACCAGGAATTCATTTTGGTAACCCTAAATGGATTCCAACGAATGGGCTCCTTTCGCATGCTCAGCATGATTAGAGTTAGGCCCAGTTATAGAATGTATATCTTAAATTGAACATGTAAAATGACGAAAAATGTCTCCTGTCAGGATTGCGGCACTTCGAATCCCCGAAATCCCGAATCGGGTGCAACATCTACTTGACCTCTGCCGTGGCAGGTGGCCGGGGCGCAAAGGCCCCTACTCCAAATACCTAGGGGTTGGGGGGTGGGGTCGGGGTGGGGGGGGGGGTGGTTTTGACCCCTCCAAAAGTGGTCTGAGTCCCCACTAAAACCAGAAATGGACACCCCCATAGTAATAAACATCACCATGGAAAACCGATCGGTTCGCCAAACAAACTACCCACCGAGAGAAAAACAAAAGGCGCCTTTGGAGCTTCCGGGGGTGGCTCTGGAATGGCCCTTCCGGGCCAACGCGGCTGGGGTTCCGCGAAGCCGCCGCTAAGAAGTTCGAGGATGGACACATAATATGGGTGTGGGTGGCAATCAAAATTACACGATCGGAGGGGCAAACCGCAGGTGTTGGGCAACCCATTTTTCCCACTTACCGATCGGGCAACCCGTTTTGGAAGTCCGGCTCTTTTGCGGTCCACAGCCATATATTCAGATGGAGAAACGGCGTTCAAAAACCGGTGTCCCCCCAAAATAGGCGAACTTGCCGCGAAACCGGTGGTCCCTTCAAATAGGACGCCAAACGGCCGCGGTTCCTATGTCTACCACCATACAAACAGAGCTGGCAAAACATATTGTAGCAGCATCCATCAAAACTGAACAGAACCGAACCAGCTAAAGACTATTTAAAACACACGCCAGGAACATGAACTTCGGCTATGACACACTTTCTCAATGCCTTCTTGGGGGGCTTTTCCTTGGCTTGTCGTAAGCTTATCCTAAGCTTATCCAAGCACAGCCCCACTCTCAATAGTCTTTGCTGGAGGTTCACGACAATTTTGGGAAGCCCCAAAATGCTTCCTTCATCTGTGCCGGCCCCCGCCAAACAAAAACGGCCATCTTGTTGGATTGCTTTGGACTGGTTTGGACTGCACGGCTAAAGGTATGAGACAGATACGTTTATGATGACCATATTGGCCCAGGCTGTCATTGCAGGAGCTGTTCTTTGAAGTCCCTTGTATTGGCTTGCAAGTTTCATGCAAACATATGTTGATTGAGTGGGCTGGGATGCCGGCTTGTATTGTCATCGGAGGATTTCAGTCTGAACCATCATCCCACGCGGACTCTTTCAGCAGTTGTGTTTAAGGGATGGATTGCATACCTCAGACGTGTCAAGCTCGGCGAAGGCTGTCTCCAAAGGGTGAGGACCTCTTGAAAACTGACATCTTCCTTTGAATCAACCATGTTTTTTGCATTCTGTCTCAGGGTCGCCTCCAAATGGCGTTGGCCGCACCACTTACATGTTGCATCGTTCAGTGGCTGTGAACTTCGTGCCAAGAACTCCACACATCCAAGCAAATCTCACTGGCCTGCCACTGCTACTGCAGAAGAAGAAAAAAAGAGGACAAACCAAACAGTGGAAACCTGCGGGCCGCGGGCCGCTAACCGGCCGGTGTTTGGGGGTCGAAAAACAAAAACCTGGCGGTTGAGGGCCCGAAATGAGAGTCGAAGCCCAATTGGAGCCTTCATTGTCATCCAACTTGGGGAGTTTCTTGGTTGCGATTCTTTTTTTTCTGGGGGCTTTGGGAATCCTAGGGCCAACCAGCGTTGGGTCCATCGGCGGAGACTCGACCCATCGATCGCTTTTTTAGGGCAGAGTATCTCAGATGCCCAGAGGATTTCCATGGGAAAAAAATTGTTTGGCATCCTTGAACTTGTGATCCTTCTCCTAAGAAACCTGTGGGATGGTTGCGCGAACTGCACTTCGCACCACCGTTTAGAAAGGCATCTTTGTTGGTTCGTGGCGGTTTTCATCGGTTTGGCCCTTCCCCAAAAAAGAATGGACACAGGGCGGAATCCACTTCACGGAGTGAGACACACACAACGGGGACTTACTGTGGCGATCTGGGCTCTGCATTATTCCCATTGCTAAGCATTCAAAGTACGCTCCGTGCGGCCCTTGTCCCTCATTTGCTTAAGTCCCTTGGGAAAATGTATATCACAAATCTAGCAGTGGTAGTTTCTCTGTAAAATCAACAGGGGACGTGACATGTAAAATCAACATATTCTTACTCAAATGGAAGTTGTTTTTCAGGGGCCAAGAATTGTTGGGTCGCGCAGCGAACCTCTCCTTCTGAAGCCAAGCCACACATGTGCCCTTCTCATTCAAAGGCTCGTCAACATGTGAAATGGCTGGGTCAAACCTAGGAACCCAAATTGGAACCCTGGCAAATGGAACCAAGGACCGATTCCTGGGGTCTCCTGTAATTTGACTCACAACTGGCGAACCCGGGTAGCCACGAGTGTAACTCCTCCAGGGCAACCTCCTTTTGTGCGTGGGATACTGGCCACTTGAGGCCAAAATGAGAGCCTTGCTCGCCTTCAAGTGTGGGCATCTCAGTAGTCAATCCCACAACTCCCCCAAAGCCCCAAAGGCCTCGGGGTCAGTAAGCCTCAAGTCCAAGCTACGAAAATGGCTGGAAAAGCTTATCCCCTTCCGTAATGCCAAAAAAAAAGCAACCTTCGAGGACCATGATGAGATCAAGTGCTCCTCTCAGCTGCTGGTTTGGATATGGCCGTGGGTCAAAATCCGGTACCGGACATCCCAATCCAACCACCAAAATACACTAAAATGGGTGGTGAATTCAGCTAGCATTTCCAAAATGGGATCCCATCAGTTTCTTGACCACCACAGCCATACTGTGGATGGACGAAATCCTGCACCACCCAAGAAACCCTAGAATGGTTCGATTCCCCTGTAAATACCAACAAGAAATGGCTTTCCATGGTCTCAAAGTGGTGCGAAATGGATTTCGAGGACCCATCCACTGTATGAGTGGAAATTTGACCAGACCCAACTTGTCCCATGCGCGTTTTTCCCGCCTCCGAGGTTCCAAGGCGGAAATGACCAAACCGCGCTTGAACCAATGGCTGAGCTGTCAGCGAAGGGGCACTACACCCGGATCAAATCCCAGGTCCAAATCAACGACGGGTTTGCCTGAGTCCTTTTGGGTGAGCTCAAAAACTGAATTTGCAGGGTGAGCCAAATGAATGACAGGTTTGCCTGATTATTCCCCAACAGCTGAAAAAGCCTTTGGGGTCTCAGCCCAGATAGGCTCCGGGGTGGTCCGGGGCGGCCAGGGAAGGTTCCACGAGGGTTTCATCATTCATCAGGGTTCCACCAGGGTTCCACGAGGTTCTGCGGGGTGGTGCGAGCACTAAAAGGAGCACCGCATGCTGTTGGGGATATCACCTGAGCTTATTTGTTATTTTGTTGGGGGGACTCCAAAGCCGGAATTTGAAGGGTGTCCCAAATCAATGACAGGTTTGCCTGATTGTTTTTTGGGATAAACTCACAAACTAAATTTGAAGGGTGAACCCAAATCCATGGGATCGTTGCGGGTGGGTGGGGTGGGGTTTCTGGGGTGGGTGGGGTGGGTGGGGTGGGGTGGGGTGGGTGGGGTGGGTGGGGTGGGTGGGGTGGGTGGGGTGGGGGTGACTTTTGTGGGAAATTGAGTGACCCCATGTCCCCCACTCCGACTGGAGAGTTCCCCCCGAGCTATCCATGCCGGGCAATCCAGGCCGGGCGTCAACCTGCCCCTAAATGGGGAAAACGTGTGCGGGTATGCTGGCAAAACACATATTTCCAGTAGTCATAGATTCCCTTTAGAACCAACAGTGGGAACAAAATCAAATGGCTCATTTCCCGTGTGGCTTCCCTTTCAACCAACCCTAGGGTGCCTTTTGCTCCCCTCCCAAAAAAACAAAAGACACATGCCTGGACCCTCAAACTACCCTCAAAAAACGTAATTCACCAACCATCATTTGGGGCTCCCACCCCCCCAACAAAACAACAAACAAATAATAATACTAATAATAATAATATTAATAATAATAATAATAATAATGATAAAAAAATAATAATAAATAATAATAATAATGATAATGATAAAATAATAATAATAAATAATAATAATAATAATAATAATAATAATAATAATAATAATAATAATAATAATAATAATAATAATAAAGAATAATAATAATAATAATATTAATAATAATAATAATAATAATAATAATAATAATAATCATCATCATCATCATGCACGAAGTCACATGTAAGAGAAGCCCTCCAGACTCCTCCCCAGTAACCAATTTTTCGAGGAAACTCAGAGGGTCCAAGTCCTTATTTCAGAAAGTCCCCTGAACGGCCTCTTCAAGGGCACAGGGTTGCCAGGAGCTGACAAGGCAAAGCTAGGCTAGATCTAAACCTAACGAAACCAAAACCACTCCTCACAAACGAAAACGGGACGGCCAGCTTCAAAGGACCCCCCCACCCTTTGGGGTGCCACGTAAAACCCCCCCCAAAACAAAAAACCGAGAAACACCGAGAAACACCGACCCGCCGCAAGCGCCAGCCGCCAGCACCGCAAGCCCCGCACCCCGCGCGAAACACGACAACGCCAACCCGGCGCGAAAACGCACGAACCCGCAAGCGCCGTAAAACCAAACAAAACAAAAAAAACAAACACGGAACAACAAAGGGGAGAAACAAAGCAATAAACAAACAAAAAAAACGCAACAACAAAGAGCAGAAAAAAAACAAAAAAACAGCCCCCCCAAAAAACAAAACAAACAACAAATAAACGCCGCCGCCGCCGCCGCCCTCGGCGCGCCAGCCACCCCCGGCGCGAAAAAACATTCACCGCCGGCCGGGCGTCGGGCTTCCGCGAGCTCCGCGCCCGCGAGGAGAAGCTGCGGCGCCGCGGCGGGGTCCGAGACCAGCGCCAAGCTGCCGTCCAGGCGGCAGCTCCTGAGCCGAGAGGGTTGTTGAATGTTGTTGTGTTTTTTTTTTGGGGGGGGGTTTTGCTTCTTGTTTGGGCTTCTTTGTTGCGCTTGACTTGTTTCTTTTATTTTTTTGCTTTTGATTTTCTTTGTCGGCTTTTTTTTGTTGTGTTTTTTGTGTGTTTGTTTTTTGGGTGTCTGAGGCTTTTGGCTTTTCGAGCCCCCGGGGCCCGGGGCTGGGCATAGCACCTGTGCTCAAAACCGATCCGAGTGGGTAACAGTGCAGCCTACGGGTTGGCTACCTGTCTCAAGCGGGAGCTCCCTTGACTGGGCTGTCCTCAGATCTGCGAAAAAACCGAAAGCTTTCAGGGTTAACTAGGAACCCCCCCAGCAAAGCATATCAACCCAACGAACCGGACGCCTGGAAACCAATTTGAAAGGGCCCAAGACCCGAGTCCTTTGTGGTTTGGGTTGCTGGGTTGCTTGGTTGGTTGATTGGCTGGTTGCTTGCTTGGGTTGGTTTGACGTCATCAGCAACAAAACCATTTGGCTGCAAACTGAGACTTGTAACACTTTGCTCGCAGTTTCTGATCCACATTAATGAAGCATCATGCGGAGTTTGCCGCAATCTGCAATGGTGCGGTACCACTGTTGGCCGCCTTCTCTTTGTCAGCACCAGCATCCAGCAAGCACTGCACAACTGTCTGATGGCCCTGCAGAGCAGCAAGATGCAATGGCGATCTGCCCACATTGTCTGCCTTTTCTTTGTCTGCACCGGCATCCAGCAAGCACTGCACAGCTGCCTGATGGCCTTGCATTGCAGCAAAATGCAATGGTGTGGCGCCCTCATTGGTCACCTTCTCTTTGTTCGCACCGGAAACCAGCAAGCTCTGCACTACTGCCTGATGGCCTTTCTCTGCTGCAACATGCAAAGGTGTGACACCCTGTTTGGTCGCCTTCTCTTTGTCAGCGCCGGCATGCAGCAAGCACTCTGCAACTGCGCAATGGCCTTTCCCGGCAGCAGCATGCAATGGCGTAATGCACATGTTGGTTGCCTTGTCCTTGTCAGCACCTTGATTCAGCAAACACTTGACCACTTCAAGATGGCCCCGCGATGCAGCAACATGCAGTGGTACTGTACCTCCATTGTCTGCCTTCTCTTTGTCAGCACCGGCATCAAGCAAGCATCGCACAACTTCCAGATGGTCACGCGCTCCAGCAACATGCAGTGGTACTGTACCGTCATTGTCTGCCTTGTCTTTGTCAGCACCGACGTCCAGCAAGCACTGCGCAACTCCCAAATGGCCGTTCAAAGCAGCAAAATGCAACGGTGATGTACCCTCATGGTCTGCCTTGTCTTTGTTAGCACCGGCATCCAGCAAGCACTGCACAACTGCCAGATGGCCCTTCAGTGCAGCAAAATGCAATGGTGATGTACCCACATTGTCTGTCTTCTCTTTGTCAGCACCTTCATCCAGCAAGCACTGCACCACTTCCAAATGACCAAGCGCTGCAGCGACGTGCAATGGCGTGGCGCCCTGCTGCGTCGCCTTCTCTGCATCAGCAGCGGCATCCAGCAAGCATCGCACAACTTCCAGATGGCCGTTTACAGAAGCATTGTACAAAGGTGTCTGATGGCTGTTTCTGTCAGCAGCATTGGGATCATGAGGCTTCTCCAACAGCTCTATCACATGTTGCGTGTCGCCTCTTTGCGCCGCTTGCAGCAAGTCTATGCAAGGTGCCAGTCCGTGTGCTTCACCCGTGTCTGCTGCAACGTATTGCCGTACGATGGCCGTCAGGCACTCTGAACTCTCCCACGGACTCTCTGGGCCCAACATGCCTGTGCCAGTAGCCAGCACGAGCCGCCTGACATTCGGCAAACGCAATCCTTATTGTGCCAGTGGTCATGACAAAAGACAATGACATATCGTGTTGTTGTGGTTTGTTGTTTGAACTGAAATAATCAGCAAGAACGGAGAAAACAAGTACCAATGGGTAGCTGGGAATCTTTTGGCCAGGTGGCGTCGCAACGCGTTGAAGAAACAATGCCCATCTTTGTGTCCGCACAGCTCCTCGCACCATAGGCGATACTCTGCCTGCGTCATCACATACGTACCATCCAGCAAGAGCACACACGCCATGGGAGTGAGTTGGAGAAATGTTGCGCTTGAGCCGGATGCACCTCATGCATTGCTGTGGGGAATGGAATCCACTTCTGTGATACAACAGAAACGGCTTCCACCCCAAAGACTAGTTTTATCTTCATATAAAAGGGGGGAACTTCCCAAAAGTAGCACAGAAGTGGTGGAGAAAAAAAAATCCCGAGTGATCCACCACCCTGCACCTCATTGCGAGTTGCGCGGCTCGGGGCCCACTTCAATGGGCTCCTTTCGAGGGACCCCTTTCGGATAGATCGCCCTGACGGGTAGCTGGTGAGAAGCCTAGGTCCTCCAGAGAGGTTAGAGTGAGTTGGTACCCGTTCTTTTTTTGTCTGGTTTGTCGTCCTCCAGAGGTTAGAATGAGGGTACCCGTTTTGTTTTTTCTCTCTTTTTTTGTCTATGTCAGTAGGTTCGGAACCCTCCCAACCCAAAAACTAATCGGTAAAAGTTGGCACTGGGGGACCTAGGCAAGGCCCTCCAACCCTTCGAAACCTGCGATTTCGCCCACCACAAGTTTGGGTTGCAATAGCCCATGTCCAAGTTGGAATCTTGAGGGTCCACATTGGTCTGTGAATCCTGGGCTTGCCTTTTTCAAGGGAGGACTTCCGAGAGGGTCGGCCGCTCTGCCTGAATCCTTTCCTGGACCCGCTAAAGGAACTACCAACTCAAGAAGCCCAGAGCCATGTTTCAAGTTAGCACGGCTAAGAAACCCGCACCCATCTACAAGAGGATTGTCCCTGCAGCGAAACAAAAAGCCGGGTCATTGGAGCCCGGTTGCAACGCCCCTTTCTCACTTCACTATTATATTTTGTGTTTAACAAACAGGGAAGGGTTCCGATTCCTTTAAGACTCAACTGGGTGTGGCTCAAAATGAATCAGCTGTTACGCAGGTTTTAGTCTTTTCCATTCACCTGTTGGTGCCATTTTGGGGATTTCATTTCTTGAGCCACAGCCTAGGCGAAAAAACATCGGAGGCCGATTTGTTTGCCCCCATGGAAATCCGCGCATCCGAGGGGGCTTGGGCCCTCCGGGCTTTCTTCACAGCCTTTGATCAGACCCTCGCAGGAGCCAACACAATACCCATGACCCGAATCAACCATGGGGTCCTTGCTCCAAATAACAGGGGCATTGTCAAATGCCCACTGCTTGCAGTTGGCATTTATTTTGCTTTTTGAAAGTCGATGGGGCTTCCTTTTTAAATACAAGGATCCCTTTTTAGTATAGGGTTGACTTCATACCTTGAAAAAAAGGGGCTATTCCGTGGGGTCGGGAAACAACCAAAGGTCCCCTCACCCCAAGATGGTTTCGTAGGACCTTAGTGGGTCTGATCAAATCAGTTGATGCAGAATCGCAAGCCTGAAACAATGCATTTCCCCCTATACCCAATACCCACCTTTCAGGGAGGGGATGATGTCAAACCTGATTGGAGACATGTGGTACTTGCGGTGAAAAGCCATATTGGCTTCAATCATGGGTTGCCATGGCCCCTTTAGTCTGGGTCATCTCACTTTTGATTCGGGTCGTGGCGACTCCGGGTACACACAAAAGATGTCAAATGTAACCATTTTCCGTTTAAAACAAATAAAATGTTTTGTTCTTCCGAATACACACTAAGTTAGACACACAAAAAGGCAGGTGTTTGGAGCTTGCCTTGCTGGTGCTCCAGCAGGGATTGAGGGAATCTCCCCAATGGTTTCGTTTCTTTGAGCGTGGTAGCAGGTTCATTCCATTTCTCATTCCCTAGATCTCGCACCGGCCAGCTTCTAGAAAACCAGCAAAAACCCAGGGGAAATGGCGATCGGTTTTTGAAAAGAACGATGGCTGAAAAGAATGGGGAATCAACCCCTAGAGTAGTCTATTTTAGTAGGGTTCGGAACGCTCCCAACCCAAAAATGTGGGTAAAAGTTGGCACCAATTGCTGGGGGCTAGCTTAATCATGGGTTAGTGCCCCAAATGTTGAGTGAATTTCAATTCTTTTCTGTTTAGTTTGGTACGTAGACACCCATACAAAGGTAGCTGGGGTACCTGCTGTGGATGGACGAAGTCCTGCACCACCTAAGAAACCCTAGTTTCTCATGATTCTCCTGTAAATACCAACAAGCAATGGCTTCCCATGGTTTCAAAGTGGTGCGAAATGGATTTCGTCCATGAACAGTAGGGCAACCATATTATTTTGGGCTTCATAGGGTGGATCCTCCCTGAAACCATACATTGTTTAGGGCTTCATAGGGTGCTCTTGGAAGCTTTGCGGCCGAGCTTCTGCAGCACTTCGCCAGCAACGGTGCCGCAATTCCATCGCCGCTTCTCCCGGGGCCGGTAAACGTAGCGACACCTGGCTCGCACGCACTCAGGGCTTCCAAAAAGGACCTGCCTGGATAGCCAAGTTGCGATATAGTTGCCATCGATTTTTTCAGTCACTTCAGGGAGACCAACTAGCAGGGACACAGGGGCAACAAGGGATACGGGAGGATTCCCCCTTACCTTGACTAAGGTTGAGATGGGAAATGGCGCCAAGGGAATCCCCCCATATCCTCGCTCCCTCCGTATCCCCACTTGTTCGTTTGTCCAATCACTGTTGCTGGTTTTTGGGGTAAAGTGGATGGAAAAAAGCTGCAACTGGTGGACACCCGCTGCCCTCTAAAAATATCCTTAACATGTTTAGTGAGGGCAACACGGGAAAACGTTTGAGGGTTCAGGGATATTGGAGCGGCCTTCAGTTCGGCCAAAACCAGTCCAACTTGGTGAACTCAACCCAAGTAGGTTACCATGGTGCTGAGGAAACCAACCCCGGGCCGTTTGCCTACTTGTAAGCATGGTAACTTCTTCCTGAGCTTGAACATCCAAGCTTTCCGTCAACTAAGTTGGTTTTCCCACAAAGGATGTCCAGCTCAAAGAAGGTCTGGAGGTGGCGCAAAAATCGCGGGGATAAGTGCTGAGTGATCAGGTCTACTTGCAATGTTTACCAGATCTGCGGTTCCAATTCCATACAGAACCCTGTCAGAACCCTCGACTTTTTCCAATCCAACCCCTGCAGCGATTCCACTTGCCCCTTTTCTCCTCTCTCTGGTCACAAATGCACCCTGAGAAGTCGTTCATCCCTAGACTCCAAATTGCAATTGATGAATTCCCTTTGTTTGTTGTTTTGGGTCCTTCCGGTCGAATCTTGCTGAAACGGTCGAAGCATGCCAGCAGCATGTTTCTGGTGCCCAAAACCCATCGATGGGATCTGAATAGGGCCACGAAACGGGTGAGAGGCAAACCGATGGAGCAACCTTGTGATATCCCACTGAGCGCCCAACACCTCAGACCCTCAAAACTAAACGGAGTTTATCGCCCCATAATTGAGAGTAAAATCCCCATGGTTATGGGTAGGACCATCATTTCTTTGCCAGTCCATGTAGGAGACCAAGCTCCGAACCAATGAAGAAGCAGGAAGGTCATGCGCATAGGGGAAATAGATGGTTTTGGTAGATGATTAAACCACCAGGTAAACCAGGAATCGCCCTCGACTTTTCTAGCAAAACAACCAAAAAGGGACACCTATGCTCACCGGCAGGGTTTCCCAAGCTGAAACCGCTTTGATCCGCCTGAAGATGCAGCGTGCGGAGGCTTGACACCTCAGCACCTCCAGCACCCGGTCGAGGTCTTCGAAGCTCGAAGCGCCTCGCTACGGTCGATGGCCGGTCCGCAACTCGTCTGACTCCCCCCCAAAGCTCCAAATGACGCTTTGTGTTAGTCTGTGTTAAAGGGAAACCCGGTTTTTCAGAGGAAGCACCACAAAAGAACTTCGATTCTCTGGATCTTGGTCAGGTCTAAGCCTTCACAACCAAAAGCCCAAGGAGTTTTGGGCTTTGTTCAATCACACGCTTCAAGAGTCGGCTTTGCAGAAGGGACTGTTGCGGCAATATCTCGCATTGTGCTGTCGCTTGAGACTGTTTGCGTGAATTTGCACATTGCAATATGCGGAATAGTGTTGGGGAATAGCCTGCATACTCCTAACAGTTTGAGGCATGTGAAGATGGCAAACTATAGATCTGATCTTTCTGTCTGGCACAGCAGCTATCTTCCGGCTTTCCCAGAGTCAGGAGATTGGGGTAAGGCAATCCAAGAATGAAGACGCTTCCTTTACTCTTGAACACACACCCTACGAAGATTTACATTGGGGTTCTGGGGTACGCCCGGGTATGGATCCCAGAGCAACCTTGCAAGGACTTGGAGACCTCTGTGACTTGACTGCAACCAAGAGAAGGCCCCTGGCGTGCTTAGGCCTCCCGAAAAGCGTGGCCTGCTAGGGCTTGTTTTTAGTAAAGGTTGACATAATATCGGAGAAAGTGGGAAGTTGGCGTAGGGAGGCTTCGTATTTGAGCCGTCCCGAACCAAAAGTGACGTTTCGGGCAGGACCCTCGTCGAAACGCCCCGCTGCTTTTTGAAAGCCCCGTCAGTCTCTCTGGGCATTGCCCGAGACGAACGCTTTTGCAGGAAACCAAGAGCTTGGCCGGTTTGAAGAAACAAACGGACACCTCCTTCCGGGGCAAAAACACACTTAAGCCAACATGGGATATACTCAAAAAAGGTTGCTATAGTTTGCTGCTCTTTGATGGGCACGCCGAGTCAACAACTTTGAGCAACTCAATGTGCCATGGACACCAGTCAAGCTTAGCTAGGTCCTCCAGTAGAGAGGTTGGAATCCGTAGTCGATTTTAGTAGGGGAACCCTCCCCCGCTAAAGGCCCTAGTTACAAGCCCAAAACCCAACCCAACAACCCCTAAAAGGGTTTTTCAAACCCTAAGCTGGGTACTGAATGCGGGGCCTCGTCAGTTTTCCTTTGAGTCAATTCAAAATAACGGTCCCTCCATCTGTGTTTTCGCCCCCTGAAAAAAATGTGTCCAGTAGTGAGAAAAATCCAACGCGAAAACCAAAAGGATAAATATAAATACTATTTTCAGCAAATGGAAGCGGTGTAAATCTTAAGCGGATCCTCCTTTGGTGGACATCATTTGGGTGGGGATGAATGCTCACCAGGCACCTAAGTCCCCGATTCAAACTCATTACCATTGATTACACCAGCCTTTCCTTTCGCTCCCGTTAAACCCAGCCTGAAAAGCATCTAAACCTTCAAACTGAAAAACATCTGACTTGTAACTCATACTGGGAATTTTTCAGGGGTCAGGTACCCTGAATAACAACCACCCGGACGCCATGGACCCTTCTAGCAAGGGTCGAATCGACCCCTCTGAATGGGACACCAACCAGGGAACTCAAATATCCATTCAGGGAGTTGGGGAAAACAAACGTACGATCAGCAACATCTCGACAATTCCGGAAAAGAATCAAAGGGTGAGAGCCTAGGCTTCACCGAGGACCCTTTAAAGCTGGCTAACTGAAGGAGTAGTTGGGAGCCTTTGAGCAAGCCCACTTAGCAGCTGCATAGCCCCAACCTACTCAACGCGCCTTCCGCGGACTGCGAGAGGTGGGCCAGGAAGACGTTCCGGGGGCAGGCGCCGCTGCTGAAGTCCAGTTGTAGCACCTCGAAGGGCTTCTTTTGTCTTTGCCTGGATCGCCAGTTGCTGCTTTTTTCCATCCACTTTACCCCAAAATCCAGCAACAGTGACTGAAAAAAGCAGCAACTTGGCTATCCAGGTGGCTCGAGTTCAGCATCCCAACTGGTGGTTTGGTGGTGTTCCAAAGGGGTCCCCTCTGCAACTAATTGGTGACTTGGATTGGTGGTTTGGTGGTGTTCCAACAAAAAAGTCCCCTCTGCAACCAATGACTTGGATTGGTGGTTTGGCGGTGGTCCAAAAAAAAACACCTCTGCAACTCATTGGTGACTTGGATTGGTGGTTTGGTGGTGGTCCAAAAAACTTTCCCCTCTGCAACTCATTGGTGACTTGGATTGGTGGTTGTGTTCCAAACAAATCCCCTCTGCAACTATTGACTTGGATTGGTGGTTTGGCGGTGGTCCAAAAAACTTTCCCCTCTGCAACTCATTGGTGACTTGGATTGGTGGTTTTGTGGTGTTCCAAAAAAAACCCTCTGCAACTCATTGGTGACTTGGATTGGTGGTTTGGTGGTGTTCCAATGACTTGGATTGGTGGTTTGGTGGTGTTCCAAAAACAAATCCCCTCTGCAACTAATGACTTGGATTGGTGGTTTGGTGGTGGTCCAAACAAAAAATCACCTCTGCAACTCATTGGTGACTTGGATTGGTGGTTTGGTGGTGTTCCGGAGGGGTTTCCTAATTTCCCTCCACAAGAACCAGGGGCTCAAATCCCCAAACCAACAATCGAAACCACCTGCTAGGGGGTTACCTGACTACTTTTGTTTGCGGGGAACTGAAGTGACATCCGCAAAAAAGAACCCCCCCCCCAAAAAAAAAAAACGAGTGGCAAAGGCAGGCCACCTGGACAGCGCTGGAAAGGGAAAAACAAAATCCATGTGATGGCTTTCGGGCCAATCAGAAGTGAGCCCATAATATGGCAATCCAATGGACAGCCTTTGGCAATACCCATTGCCTCCTCTGAGCCTCGGGGTGTTTTGAGGCCGGAATCCTCAAAGGACCTTCAAAATATCCCCCGGAAGCTCCAAATGCTTGGAACACCTGGTCTTGTAGGGGAAATACCGAAGCCCTGCTTGGTCAAGGATTAAACACATACCTTATTATACCGTAAAAAGTGGGTAGTGGGTGTCGGGGGTAGCCTGAGCCCTTGCAACCCACAACTATGGCTGGTGCTTTGCCTTTGTCAAGTTGGTAGTTCTTTCGGGTCCAGGCACACAGATTCTTCCCGTTGCTTAAGCACCCTGAAAAAATATCAATATGTCCAGTAGTGATCGATTCCTTTTTTTTAACAAAACAAAAATATCAATATTTCCAGTAGTGACCGATTCCTGTTCTCTCTATAAATGTATATATAAATATATATAGAAAACAAAAAACAAGAAAAACACAGGAACATGAACGCGATTCTTAAACCAATGGAAGCATTTCCCCCCCAGCCGGCTTCCTTGGCACCCAAAAGCTCCCCATTTCGAGGGCTTTGCGGCCTCAGAATGGGTTGCTTTCAAGGCCCCTGAGGAATTGGCCCGGGTTCTTCATTGGAGGGCCCCTTATCACCTGGAGAGCCAAGTTGCGATCGCTTTGTTCAGTCGCTGTTGCGATCGGTCTTTTTTAGGGGTAAAGTGGATGGGAAAGAGCGAAATCGCCACTGGCGATCCAGGCAGGCCATTGGGGTCATGAGCCTTAGGGCAGCAGGCCTGCACCACGTTCTCCAGGGGCGGGTCGAGAGCCGTGGGCGGCACCACGCAGAGGCTCACCTGGGGCGAGCGAACTCCGAATGACAGAGGCTTCCCGAGCGGAAAAAGCCATCCACCTCAACCCTCAAACTACCCATTGAAAACTGGGATTCAGCAAACAGATGTTTGGGTTAATAACCAATTGTTATTGGTAGTTTGAGGATCTCGTTCTTTCTAGGTCCTCCAGTAGATTAGAATAAGTTGGTACCCGTGTTTTTTTTTCTTTCTTTTTTTCTGTCGTCTATTTTAGTAGGGGAACCCTCCCAACCAAAAAAGGGGGTGAGAAAGGGCACCTAGCTGGGGGACCTAGTGCAACTAAACCTTCAAACTGCCCATTAAAACATGGAATTCCCCAACAAATGTTAACACATAAGGGTATTTGAAAGTCCAGGTGGATTTGAAGGTATGTTTGGGGCGATGAACCATTTTTTCAGGGCAGTTTGAGGGTTTAGGTCTGTGTGCAAGAAAACGGGTCGAAGCCCAATAACCTCAAGGTCAATCATATGGGAGAAGTAGGTGCCGCCAGGGATACCAAAAAGTGGCACTTGACACAACTCCAAATGAACCATGGTCAACTCCTTACACGGCCTATCGTTTAAAGGAGTGGCAACGGCTCAAAAGCATGTACCAAAATGGCACCTTGGCAAAGGGAACCAAACACTAAAACACTAAAACCTGCGGAGCCCTGGCTCTGTAATCTTGAGCAACACCCGAATCTCCTTTCCTTTTTGGAGGAACCTGGACGAAATGCAACATCTGTTTCAGCAACCTCCATTTTTCCCTGTCTTCCCTTGGTGCTACCCTTCTGCATGGGAGTGCCCGGTTTTTTAGGATTCGGACCCTCCAAAATGGATGTCGGTGTTCCTGTTGAAAAGCCCTTCAGCCACAAAAAGGGGGGTACCCTTAATACAAAAAAAAACAAGTCCTTGACATCCCACTTTAAGGCTTCCTTACTAAAAGTTGCATGCCTACCCCCCATTCTTCTGTCACCCTGAAAGCCGCCGGAATCTTATTTTTTTTCGGAGGTCTTGAACACATCCCGTTTCAGGAAGCTACGGCAAAGCTACGGCAAACAGGTGTCACGGACTCTCCGATCGGGGGACCCCGTTTTGGAGGTTGGAAGTTGTGCAGCGTAAAAAACAACATCCGAAGTCGTGTCAGGGAGTTTGGGAGGCGGAATCGACTTGGGATCTCTAGAGAGATTAGTTGGATTTATAGGGTCATGTCAAATGTCTTCCTTCCTGAAAGTTGCATGCCTGCCCCCTGAATAATATGTATTTCTATATATATATATATATGTACATTTGATCATGTCAACATACGGGACCCCACAAACAATTGTTGGGCATCCTGTTGGTTTCCTCTAAAACCAACTGAAAAGGGTTCCCTCAAACAAACATATGCTCATATTCCAATCCTCCTAATATGAAACCCTCCCTCCCTCCCTCCCTCCCTCCCTCCCTCCCTCCCTCCCTCCCTCCCTCCCTCCCACCCTCCCTCCCTCCCTCCCTCCCGAGAAAAAAAAAACAAAACAACCCCCTGCGCAAATCATTGCTCATCATTTGCGGGCTGCCAACTCCTGTAATTTTCACTTCTGTGTAAGGTCCCGTCATGTCTAGTCAGAGGGTCCCCTGCGACTGGAGAAGGTGAGAGCAATCGCTCCTTTAGTATTGCCTTAAAACTGGCCTACTCCAATCTAGCGCCCCTTCGAATTGAACCATTAAAACAATGGGGGTACATATAACAACCATTGTTTCCCTAAGGGTTGTCATCATCCAAATTGGATCCCAAGGCCATTCTTTGTACTGGGGGTTGAACTCAAGTTGGCGTTTCGCCACTACTCAAAGAATCCATGTAGGTAACAACATTTGACACGTCTACATGGGGGATTGGGGATACTCATTCCAGATGGAGTTTTGGACTCCGGACGAGTCAGTCCCTTTTGGGGTGGGACCATTTTGGGCCATCCACTCAGGAAGTGAGACCGTTTCTGTTGGTGTTGAAAGACTAGTTCCCTTGGCTGCCCACACCATTTGCCCGAAGCATCATCTCACTTGCCCAACGCGAATTGACCTTTTGACCTGTTGGTTGTGTGTTGGTCCCTGTTTAGTCACGGCCATGTCACCATGTATTTGTGGGTGCTTTGGGCAAGTGGGTCATTGGACCCATCGAGGATAATTTTAGGGACCTCAAAAAGCGGCCAAATTTGAGGGCCCAAGATGCCCGAGCTGGGTGGTGAAATACTGTGGACGGACGAACTCCATTGCGCACCACCGAACAAAACCCTGGAATGCTTCGATTCCTCAAAGCAATACCAACAAACGTTGTGGTTTCAACCATGGCTTCCTTTCGTGGTGCCTGGATATATTCAGTATGAACCCCGCAGGGTGAGTTTCAAGTTGTCGAGGCACGCCCTCCTCGCCCAGCAGTGGGCGGTCCAGCAGCACCGTGCAGCGCCGGCAGTGGGTGGAAGCGCGGGACACTGGGGCCTGAACCAGCCCCCTTTGCAGAAAACCGGCCCGCCCCTGCAAAAACTCAAGAAGGGTTCTTACCCCGTAAGCTCTAAATTCCTGCTTTCCAAGAAGCATTTTTTGGGGAATGCCTGCCTGGAGTCTCCATGACCCTTGACCCCTTTTTCTAAGGGTCATGGAGACTCCAGGTATCCGGTCGCCTCGCCTCCTGCAGGAAGTCCTCGCAGCCCGCCACCACCAGCTCCGCCCGCACCACCTAGCTGTGGCCCCAAAAAGTGGTCAAGATGACTTTTAGTGGTGACCAAGAACTTATTGATTTGGCAAATCAAGCCAAGTATATTGATCCACCCCAGTTTCTTAATAATGTTAACCCCGGATGAATAAACCCCTGGTTGATTAATAGGAGATTGTCCCCTTTTAGTGGGGATTCAGACCACTTTTGGAGTTGGAACACCCCCCCTAATGGGACGGGTAAAAAAACAAATCCTGGATCAACATTACTAGGGGATGTTTCCCTCCAGAAGTGGTCTGATTCCAAGCACCAAATCCAGGAACACCCTACTATTCATAAACAGGGATCCTTGCATTATACTCCTGAGCTTTGCCTTATAAATTATGGTTTCCCACTAGTTTGATGGAAAAGCCATGTTTCAAATGGGCAACATGTATCTTTTAAGGAGCCCGGACTAATAAACCCCTGTTTATTCATATGGAGGTGTTCCCCTTCACAAGTGGTCTAAATCCCAACTAAAACCAGAGATGGACACCCCCATATTAGTAAACAGGGATTGATTTATCCGGGGTCAACATTACAAACTGGCACCCTTGGTAAATGAAACCACTCTTTAACCAAGCGGTTTAGCCATTCTTTAACCAATCAACCAAGACTAAATTTGCCAATGACACCAAGAGCGTTGGCAACTTGGTATATGAAACCACTTAGATAGCCAAGTTGCGATCGCTTCTTTCAGTCACTGTTGCGATCGGTGTTTGGGTGTTGAGTGCATGGGAGAAAAAAATAGAAGAAGAAAAAACAGCAACTGGCGATCCAGGCAAAGACTACATCCTGCGTAAGCCTAGCTAGCTCTTTAATTTTGAGCCACGCCCACCTCCCCCCGGTTGGTCACGATGCCGCAGGCGCGGTGAGACGACGACACGGCCGCGGCGGCCGCGGTCGCCTGCGAGGCGCGAGGCCAGGCGTGCAAAAGTGGGCTTCGTGAGTCCCAGTGCAAGGTAACGTGCTTTTACTCGGTTGCTTTCTGCTCCCCTGCTAAAAGTTTGACTTTTAGTGGTTTAGTGGAAAACCCATTAGTTGGCAAAAAGTTAAAGTCCTAACATCTAAGCAAAATGCAACAAAGTTTATTTGGTAGTGGCTCAAAATTAAAGAGCTAGGGCCAACCGCAGGTTTTGGTCCATGTTTCTACTTACCAGGGCAAGCCATTTCGGAATTCCGGTTTTTTGAGCCATACCTATTTGCTGAGACCACTGGAAAAAAGAGAAGGGAATCTTTAAACCCAACAAGTGAAAACAGAAATTAATTCTTCTTATAAGCAAATGGTATCCTACAAGTTTGCATCTGAATTTGCGGGAAATACTCATACTCTGAGTTGGGCAGTCTTCTCAATGGAATGATGCCTGGAAAGAGGGGGAGGCTACGGCAGGCAAGCAAGCAAGAGAGCGAGCGAGCGAGCCGACAAACAAACAAACAGGCAGTCAGACAGCGAGAATCACAGGGTTGTGAAGCCAAATAGCTTCAGTTGTTGGACCTAAGCAAGCACACCAAGCACAATCAAGAAACACACACACACACACATGCATCTACTCTAGCCTCCTTCTCCTGTTGCATATATCACTGCACCAACCACCACCAAAAAACCAACCCTCCTCCCGAGTCTCATTCTTGCTGATCCGTTTCGGCTGGGTCGGCACATACATCACACAAGACCTCCACCAACACCGCCTCCGCCTCATTATCCTTTGCCCCTTTTGCTTCATCAATAAACATCCGCACACAAGAACACGCAACCAAACCACACCACCCGCAAAACACATCCTTTCGCCTCCTTTGGACCTGTTGGCTCCAAAAAATCCAAAACACCAGAAAGTTGTGATAGGCTTTAAAGGAAAACCAAAAAAACACAATTTTCCTTTGCCAATAATCAAAAAGCAACAACAACAAACACCAGCAAACACCACTCGACATATCCAGCCCCCTTCTCTTTCTCTTCCCCCTGAATTTCCTTGAGGGTACTTTTTGTTGGTAGGTTTTAAAGGGAAACCACAAGGACAACCCACCCATTTGGGGCATTGTTCCGCCTCTTTCTCCTTCTCCTCCTCCTCGTTGACACCTTTCTCCGTTTCCGTCAGCACATGTGTGGCATAGGTCCGCAGCGCGTAGAGCCCCCGGTGCACGGCGCAAAGCCGCGTGAAGCCTTGAGCCACCTCCCCCACGCCGTACCTAGAAAAATCATCAAAACGAGAAATACGGGAGAGACGCACAGCTTGAGCTGGGTATGGGTCAAAACTAAACCACCAGGGGACCGCAGATTTGAGTCCACGTTTCCATTTACCAGGGCTCCATCTTGGGCACCTGTTTTTGACCCACAGCGTGAGCTCTTTCCAGAGGAAACCACAGGTGGATGCGTCGACAAAACCTGTGTTTGGGCTGGTCGATATACAAAAAGCTTGTGTTTGTTGGGCTTCGCTTGGCAACCCGAAAAAGGGTACCTGGACCCTCAACATATCCTAAGAATGGGTTCAGTGGGCAATGACCCTAGGTTACCGGTACAACTTACTAACTTCGCCGAATACAGAAGTAGCACTTTCGGGTGTGAGGTACTATCAACCCTCAAACCATACATTAAAAACAGGATTTCGCCAACTATAACTTTGGGGCCACCCATTTTAAGGCTGGTTCTTTCGGGTCCAGATCTCCTGGCAGCCCTCTGATCCCCTGCTGGAAACTACCAAAGCTAAGGAACGGGATGGCTGGGAGCCGCCAAGGTAAGAATTCACCCCATAATTTCGGCCTAATCCCCCAAACCATCCATACAAACCTGGAGCCCCGAAACGCCACGTTTTTTTCGGTCAAAAGGCATATTTGGCCCGTTTTTACCCGTAAGGTTGTTATAAACACCTACTTTGTCGATAGAATATTGAACAAAAAAGCAAAGGAAAACGTATTTGGCCGTATGAGCACTTATTTCGGGTGTTTTGGGGCCCCAGGCAGCCATATTTGTGGGGCTACAACGGTAGTTTGAGGCTCCAGGTAGCCCTACTCCTTGTGCGGGTGGTTTTTTTGGAGGCCTGCTTGCGCTACCCGGAAGTTCGTTCATGCGGCTACCCCTTTAGTTGGTGCCTGGCTCGCCAGTTGCTGCTTTTTTCCATGCACTTTACCCCAAAACCCAGCAACACTGACTGCAAAAAGCAGCAACTTGGCTATCTAGGTGCTTTGGATTGGGGCTCTCACCCACGTTTCATAGTTTGAGGAATTCACCAACCATACTTTTTGGGGTCCAGAAAACATCAAAAGACGTCCGGTGGTGATACAGTTCCAACTTTGAAACCGCAAAGCGAAGTCAAAGCAGGGAAGAGGTACCCTCGACTCTTTTAACCAATCCGAGTCGCATGGTTAACCCAGTCATTAGTGGGAGTTATACCCCAGGTGGCTCACCACGAAGACCCAAGTAGCGGGGTTTAGCCTCATCCAACCGTCCAAGTCTGAGAAGTTCAGTGGAGAAAGTGAGAACATATTTTCAGTAGTGAAATCGATTCCAACTCTACAGACCAAACAAAAGTCCTTTTCAGCCAATGGAAGGTCTTTTTCTAGCTCCTCCAGTAGAGAGGTTAGAATAGGGGTACCAACTTGTTTTTTTCTGTAGTCTATTTTACTAGGGGAACCCTCCCCCAAAAAGGGAAAAAGGGCACCTAGCTGGGGGACCTAGTCGAGAATCCAATTTTTGCTTAAATCCCATTGTTAAGGGTAACAGCTCGTCAAACTTCCCTTAAAAATGGGAAAACTACCACTGAACCAACTAAAAACAACTAAAAAAGCTAAGGAACCGGAGGGCTGGGGGCCACCAAGCTTTCTTTTGTTTATTGTTCTTCTTTTTTGCGAGCTTTTTGTTGCGAGTGGCATGGGGAAGAGCAGCGGCATGGTGGTGCCACGCCCATAGAGCCCCAAGGACGAGATGAAGGCGCCCATGCGCCCCAGCGCCTCACGGCCTGCGGATGGGGAAGCGAGCGTGCGCTGCTGCGGACGCTCCCCCGCCGGATTTTTGGGGTGGACGCCCACAAAAAAAACCGAGGGGGAGGTCAACCCAAGAGAATAAAAATCGGACCTACCTGGAGTCCAGTCACTGTTGCGATCGGTTTTGGGGGTAAAGTGCATGAAAAAAAAGAGCTGGCGATTCAGGTAAGTATCCTTAAACATGGGAATTCACCCACCATAATTTGGGCCTACCCCCAAAAAAGCGACCAAGGGTGAGGTCAACCCTTTACCCAATAAGGAGTTGTATTTACCCTGGAAAACCGATCGGATTTCCCAACAAGACCACCTAAAAGCAGCATGAGGGGGTTAACGAACCCCCAAAGTAGCTGGAGCTGAAAGAACCACCAGCTTAAACATGTTCCAATTCACCAACCATAATCTTGGGGCAGGCAATCACCCAATTGAAATGATATTTTGCGAGTCCAGGCACTGCTTCTCTTGTGATAGGTTCTAATTATTGGTCCTTCTGCACTTTGAAGACCTACGGGACCCAGCTTAGAGGTGATACCTTAAGATTCATGACCATACCCCCAACTCCGTACCGTACCCGGCCCGTTGGAACACGCGGCTTTTTGGTTTAAAGTAAATACCTCTTTTTTTGGCCAGTGACATGATACTTGACAACGCCGGTATGCGCAGTAGTAGGGGGCCCAGTTCAAGATGCCAAACACAAAAAAATGGACCCATGTGGGCACGGAAACCATGCACCCATCCATGTTTAGAGGCATCGGATCTTTGGTTGACCCTTTGATTGCTGCACGACAGCGTTGACTTGACGGTCTTTGGTGATGCTAACCTTGGATAAATTCGGAGGACCGCCCTTAGGGGGATTCCTCTGACTAGGGTCCTGATAAATCAGAAGTTAACGCGTGGTTCGCAGCTATTTGACCTCAAGTTGGCTTGCTAAGCAACCTCAGTGCTTCGTAGGTAACCTTTTCTTTAAGGAAAACACCAACAAGGGATCCCTAAAACAAAAGAGGACGCCTGGGCCAACTAGCTAGCCAAACTTATGGCTGGTGAGTTTCTTTTATGGGTATTTCGGGTCTCCATAACCCCTAGAAAATGGGGTCATGACCCCTTTAATTTTGGGTAATCGCCTCATTTTTAAAGGGTCAGAAGGGAGACTCCAGGTAGTTTCAGGGCTCAGGCAAACCTTCGGCTCTCGCCGAGGGGCAGCTGAGATGCTCGCTGGGCCAGTCCCAAAGGCAGATGGAGTAGGTGATGAAGTCTTGCAACCGCTCCGAAAGGCTCCTGAGCTTCGGCGATTTTTGGGGAGCCTTCGAATGGCAACCTCCACTCGGTTGCTTTCTGCGAAGCCCTGCTAAAAGTGTGTTTAACTTTCAGTGGTTTAATGGAAAACCCAAATTCGTTGGCAAAAAGTTAAAGTCCTAACATCCAAGCAAAATGCAACAAAGTCCATGAAGCCTTGCTTGCATAGGCGTCCTTTTAGGGGAAATAGATATCCCTGGTAGATGAGAAAAAAACACCAGGTAAGCCAGGGCCATCTATTTTGCGACCAAAACAACCAGAAAGGACACCTATGCTCCTGAGGACCAGCTTGAATTTCGGGCTGTCCGTTGGAAGATCCGACAACAAGTCGACAATCTTTGAGAGTGTTGTAAATGGACGCCCCCATTAAACCCCCAAACCCTCAAAAACCTAAGGGGATAAGATGCAGCCAGAAGGTCAAAAGATTCGATTCACTTTGGGCAAGTGAGCAAATGGTTGGAACACGACTCCAAGACATCTACTGTCAACCAAATTCCAGCTTCCCTCAAGGCCAAACGAATCCAAGCACCAATTAGTGGACAGCTCCTGAGGCAAATGCTCCGGTGATGCCGGGGGCCATGGGACAACAAAACAAAAATAATTAAACAATGGGCAGTTTGTGGCCTGTAGGTGGACTGGGACTCTCACAATGCCAACTTAGTTGGTGAATTCCCATTCGTTCAAGGGTAGCAAAAGAGTCTAGGGACTTGGACATGTATTGAAAAAGAAACCAAGGCTCCCGACTCAAACCCGCTGGAAAGGCCTGCAAAACGTAAGTTCCTGGTCTTCTTATCGCACCCGTGTGTGTGGCTTGCGTGTGGCTTGCCGCCAAGTAATTAGTTTGCGTTTGCTTTTGAACTTGGTTGCTGGTGACCCCTCTGCAAAAAGTTTGTCAGTTTTTGAGGGTTCAATGGCAAACCCTTGGTTTCCCAGAAAGTTAAAGTCCAAAGATCCAACCCAATAGCAATCCAGCAAAGGGCTCCCCCCTCCAAGAAAGTCGAACCACTTTGCGCCCTTTGAGATCATGCTTTGGCGCAACGTGTGCCTGGGGTGAGGCTGAACATGGGGGCAGGTCGCACTCCGCTCCCAAAAACCCGAGCGGGTGCCAAATCAGCTCCCAATGCAAAGTTGGTGACTTTCCAACCCTCGGAATCCACAACTCCAATCGAAAAATGGGGGGTGGGGTGGGGGTGAATTCCAGCGGTTTTTTAAACTAAGAGCGCTCAACGGCGTGTCAAACAACCAAGGACTTCAGCATCGGATTTCGGACGTCTTTCATGGGGTCTTTCTTGCACCCAGCCCATTTTGGTAGGACCTCGTTGCAGGGTCCATGAGCGTCCATGAACGATGCTAGTGCCCCAAGCTCCGAAACCGGCTCTGTGCAATACCGTCGCATATACACCTGACATCATACCCTATCAGACCTGGATGAAGGTTGTATTGGGTCTGCCTGGACCCAATAAACTAGCCTTGAAAAACGGAATTCACCAACCATATGTGTATACATGTGGGTTGCAATAACCAATTTTCAAGTTGGCGTTTTGAGGGTCCTGGTCTCAGTCAGCCTTTTGGAAAACGTTCGTTGGCTGACAACACATTCTTGCTATCTGGGGTCTGTGCTGGTATAAATGGTCCTGGTGGGTTCTAAGCATGGTTATAAAGTTATAAGGGGACGATCACCCCAGTTACCTTAGTAACCATGGTTGTAACCTACTTACTATGTTGGTTGAACACCGAAGCAAAGGCATCCCGATCTCAATCAGTGGCATCCATCTATTTCTAACCAACCACAAGAAGGACGCCTCTAGCAAACATCGCTTGAACCTACTAACTCGGCTAAACAACCAATGGCACCCATCCACTTCTAACCAAAAGACACCTACGCTGATAGAGGACCAAAAACCATCGCTTTAACCTACTAAAGTGGGTAGAACCAGGAAAGTTTTGGCTCTGGCGCTGGGTCTCGACCAAACACAAAAAACAAAGGCAATAACCACCCAGTTGCCCCAGTAATCACATTAGATAACCTACCAGCTCGGCAGAACCAGCCGCCATTTTTGGGTCCAAGGCGACTCGCCTCGGAGTCGACGCCTCCATCCAACCCGATTCGACTCGTGAGACTCGTCCGAGGCGCTGCTTCTCCAGGAAGCTGCGCCAGGACGAGTCCAGGTCCAAGTTCAGGGCCTTCAAGGCGTCCGCGTCCGCCGCCGGCTTCACCTTCCCCGCCTCGCAAAAGTTCTCTGGGGGGGGGAAGGGGCGAGGAGACCCTCCGAGATCCCACCCACCCCCACGAAAAAAGAGAGGAGAACCCTAAGAGTCATGACCCCGGGACCCAATGCACTGGGCCCAATGCAGAACCCGGAGCGACCAATTCCTCAAGGATCCTCAAAACAATCCATTTTGAGGGACCAAAATCAATCGAGACCCCTAGGAGAACCTCCCTGGGGCCCCAAAACACGGTCAAAAGGCTTTGCCCGAAAAAAGTGGTCATGCGGCCAAATACGTTTTCCTTCGCTGTTTTCAATATTATATCGACAAAGTGCGGGTTTTATACGGCCAAATACGGGCAACTAGGGCAAATGACCGGAACAAAAAAACTTGCGGGTAAAAACGGGCCGAATATGCCTTCTGACTGAAAGAAAAGTGGTGTTTCGGGGCTCCAGGTCCAAACGAAGCGCACTGAGTCGGACGCTCAACATACACTCAATCATGGCCACAATTTTGATATATGTTGTTGTTTTTCTTATCTTCCATTTGCTGAAGCCCCCTGCAAAAAAAGGACATATCTCCGGTAGTGATAGATTCCGACTCTAAAACCAACAAGGGCAAATAACAAATGTTCACGTGGCCATGGGTCAAAATCCCGTGCCCCCAGTGAACATCCCAATCCCCTAAAATGGGTGGTGCACATACCCCAAAATGGGATCCCATTCGTTTCGACCCACAGCCATTTCAGCAAATGGAAGCTCTGGGCAGTTTGAGGGCGGAGTCACCCAACAGGAACCCAAACAAGCTCCCCCGGCCGAAAAAGTCGCGTTTTGAGAAAAACACAAAATCTGGCTGGACCCTCTAACTTCCCTGAAAAATGGGCTATTGCCCCAAAATTATGTGTTTACGGGAAGTGTGAGGGTTGGAGCTTGCAACCATGGCACACCAAGCAGATCCCACATCATCACAGTCATCACACCCCCGACCCCAAATACCCATTTGTTCAGGGTATGCAACCCACTACTGCCCCAAGCAAAGGACCTCTTTCTTCGTGGTGGATGCATCTTGAAGTTGGAGTTGTTGCCAGATGAATTGCCTCAGTTGCCTTGGACTCAGAAATGAAGGTTCACCTTTTGGGGCCATGGCTCCGGGCTGTCCGTTGTCTGATCCGAAAGTCGAGAACTTTTAGGGGGCAAGGAAGATCTCAAAAGCTGGCGGTGGCCCAATCGGTGCTTCAGAGGTTTCCCATTCTACAAGACTCGGTTGCTTTCTGCTCCCCTGCTAAAAGTGAATAACTTTTAGCGGTTTGGTGGAACACCCAAATTAGTTGGCAAAAAGTTCCGAACTAAAAACCTAAGGGGATGGCTCGTAATCCACCCTCCAAATCGTCGATTCGCTGGCAAGATGACTAGACCGCGACTCACAGACCTCTGAGTTGAACCCGGGGGTTTGGAGGTGTTTGTGGTGTCCATTTTTTACTCTTCACGAGAAGCAAGGCGAACAAATCAACATTTCTCACTTGCTGAGTGGATGGCCCCAAAAAAAGTAACCAAACTTTATATGTTCCCACTAAAATGGTCCAGCCCCAAAAAGTTTAAAGATCATGAACTCAGGAAGTGAGACATCCAAACCACCAATCCAAACCAAAATCATTTACCTAAAACTGAAGTTGCGGGAAAGCCATGTACCTGGACTAAGCCTCAACACACAACTAGAAGCGGGTTATTGCAACCCAAAGTGTGTGTGTGTGTGGTTTGTGAATTCCGTATTTGTGGATAGTTCTTTCAGGTGCAGATCTACTTTTGAACATGCGGGCTTGTCCCAACATTGTAGCCCTGGACCCCAACAATACCCTGAACATGGGTTCTAGCCCCTAAGATGACAGGGTGAAATCAGAGACTCGGACATAAAAAAAAGGAACACCCCAACAAGTTAAAGCCTCAAGATCCGCGGACACTGCAATCAAGGAAAAGCCCCGCCCGAAATTCAGGAACCCTGCAGCCTGAATAGTCCCCGTCCCAATCGAGTGGGTTGTCAAATTGCCGTTCCCTTTCAAACCACACCAAAATGCGTACCTGGACCCTCAAAATGCCGGTAGACATTCGTTGCCCCAAATTATAGGGCAATACCTCATGCTTAACTGCAGTTCGAGGGTCCTCAAACCCTCAAACAAGACGCACCCATACGCTGAATGCCTCAAATATTCCAAGGAAACCACCCACAAAATCCCACAAACCCTGGTTGAATTTACAGGGGTCCAACTTGTTCCCTCGCAATATTTGGCCATGGTTCAAAACCAATGGTACCATTGTGGGATAGGTGCACCACCCATTTTAGAACCTATTTTAGTGGGGATACTGGGGGTACGGGGATTTGACCCATGGCCATTTAGGGCAACCAGACTTACCTGGCAACTCCTGATGAAGAAGCGACCCCACAGGCGCCAAAGAGAACATCTCCAGCCCACCGAAAACAATTTCCTCCATTTGCGAATACGTCCCTTGGAAAAGAAAAAAACATATATCCAGTAGTGACACAAATCCTTTTAAAGCCAACAGGGAAAAAATCTTAACCACATGGAAGACTAACAACTTGGTGCTAACACATGGACCTGAAATGGGTGGGCCTTTCATGTTGCTTCCATTTGCATAAGCTCTAGGCATCTTGGGCCCTCAAAGCATCAAACGGGACCTCAAAACTGCCTTCTTTTTGAGGTCCAAAACCTTTCGACTGAGACCCTGCCCCCTTCAATGCAGGGCCCCATGATGGTTAGGGTAAGGGATCCTTTGGCGGACATCAAATTGGGTTGGGATTCATGTCCAACCACTTTTGCAGGCCGGCCATTGAAAATCACTGCCGGATTCATCCTTTGCACCTATCTGAGCCACAATCAAAACCCGGTATTAAAATGGTGAACCCAGAACCATGTAAAGAATTAAGAAGGCGAGCGCAGCTATTTATGGCTCGAATTGGCCCTTACTAAACTTCATCTACCCGGGTTTTGATCGTGGCTCATCTGTCATGAAAAGAGCTAAGAGAGTGCACAACACACCGCTTCTGCAGAAGTCAAATCAGCAGCTTGGATTTGCTCCAACTTCCTCAGATACTCTTGGTCGCCGCCGTAGGCAGGTCGCCCCCAGGTCACAACAGCGCCAGACTCCAGAATGGCAGCGAAAGCAGCGCTGGTGGCTTGGATTTGGAGGACACCTTTCAGCTGCTCTTGCACATGCCTGCTGTCCCCGCCATACCACGGATGACCCCATGTCACAACATCTCCAGATTCAAGAATGGCAGCAAAAGCATTGTGGGTTGCTTGAATTTGCTGGACATTCCTCAGCTGCTCTTGCACCTGGCTGCTGTCTCCACCTCCACAAGGGTCACCCCATGTCACAACAGCTCCAGAGTCTAGAACAGCAGCAAAAGCATGCTCAGTCGCTTGCATCTGTTGGACATTCCTCAGGTGTTCTTGCACCTGGCTGCTGTCTCCGCCGTAACGTGGATCACCCCATGTCACGACATCTCCGGAGTCTAAAATGGCAGCAAAAGCACGACGAGTTGCTTGGATTTGCCGGACATTCCTCAGCTGCTCTTGCACCTGGCTGCTGTCTCCACCATAGAGCTTCCAATCATCATGAGCAGAATCGTCATCTCCCCATGTCACAACAGCTCCAGAGTCTCGAATAGCAGCAAAAGCACGCTCAGTCGCTTGAATCTGCTGGACATTTTTTAGCTGCCCTTGCACATGTCTGCTGTCCCCGCCGCAACGTGGAGCACCCCATGTCACGACATCTCCAGATTCAAGAATAGCAGCAAAAGCAGCGTGGGTTGCTTGAATTTGCTGGACGTTCCTCAGCTGTTCTTGCACCTGGCTGCTATCACCGCCGGAACAGGAATCACCCCATGTCACGACAGCTCGGGAGTCAACAATAGCAGCAAAAGCAGTGTCAGTTGCTTGAATTTGCTGCACATGTTTAAGCTTCCCTTGCACCTGGTTGCTGCTTCCACCACCAGCAGCACCAGCACTATCATCATCATCATCGTCATCATCATGATCATCGTCATCGTCATCATCATCATCATCATCATCATCATCGTCGTCGTCGTCATCATCATCATCGTCGTCAACATCACCCCATGTCACAACATCTCCAGATTCAAGAATGGCAGCAAAAGCATCGTGGGTTGCTTGAATTCGCTGGACATTCCTCAGCTGTTCTTGCACCTGGCTGCTGTCTCCACCTCCACAAGGGTCACCCCATGTCACAACAGCCCCAGAGTCTAGAACAGCAGCAAAAGCATGCTCAGTCGCTTGGATCTGTTGGACATTCCTCAGCTGGTCTTGCACCTGGCTGCTGTCTCCACCGCGGAGCGGATCACCCCATGCCACAACCTTGCCCTCCTGGACGTACAGAGCGAATGCCGCGTCAGTGGCAGCCAACTGGACAGGCTGCGCAAGCGCAGTGACAAGGTCCCCATCTCGCAAGCCGGCTTGGCTCAGCGTGGCCGTCAGATCCAGCGCCCGGCCTTTGGCAATGAGCCTCAGGCAGCCCCGCTGGAAATGCTGCTGCGCTGCAGCCTTCAGCTCGCTCACCGGAGTCTCTGGAGAGAGTGAGATCGAGAAACCGCTCCCACTGGGCAAGTGAACATCTACTTGCATGGCCCAGGTGCGTGAATTGCAAGTTAGACAAACACAGAGCTAAAACCCCTGCACGCTCCAAGAGTTGCCACCCCAGTTGACACATGTGTGTGTGTGTGTCTGTGTGCTGGTCTCGCCAAGCTAGGTCATGACCCCAGGTGTAAGCACAGGATTCAGCCAAACACTGAAACGCCGTCGCAACCAAATCGGCCAATCTCACCTTACCGATCGAGTCGATGCCCCAGTCTCCAAAGATTATTTGGCTTGACGCTGCAATGGTTGTGCCAAAAAGCAGAAAGTCGCACTTCCTGATGAGTTCACTAGCCAATTTCATTAAATGAGTCAGGGCCTCGTACCAGAAGGGCTCATATCAGCCACACATGTTGTGGTGCACCCCGAAACGCTCTAAAGACAATTGTAACTGTTTTTTTGGTTTGCCTAAAATGAATGACACGTGAGTGCCTGAACCCTCCAAATTCCCTTACAAATGGGTCTGACCTCATAATTACGGGGTGATATCCCATTCTTATGGGTAGTTTGAGGGTTCAGGTGGTTTCCTTTTGGTTTCCCTTTTAACACAAGTTGCTCAGAAACTCGAACAACTGCCACTCCAACCGCTTCAAACGGCTCGCTTGAGCCAAGTGCGAAACCGCGAGGCTGAGGGAGCTCCCCCTTGCCTTAAACAGGGTACCGACCGGACCGAGCCTCAAACCACCCAAAAAAATATGTGTTTTTTTTGGTCCGAGCCTCAAACTAACTAAAACAAAGTTAAAGGGATTTCACAAATTCAATAACTTTGGGTTGCTACAACCCACTTGTCAGTTGGAATTTTGAGGGTTCAGGTACCGACCGGACCCGAAAGAACGCTTCACAAAGGGAGTTCAACCCCATACTTTGCAAGCAGCTCAAGGGTCCACGTGCTTGGGTTTGGCGGTCTTTTGCCGCAAGCACCAGCAGATACCAGAAGCATAAAAGCATGTAAATAGGACCCTGTCGGAAATGAACCATTTTGTGGCTACATTCCAAATGCAGAGCAAGCGGGCAAGCAAGCGAATAAAGCACAACAGCACAAATCGAATCAATACCGCACCAGCCAACCATACTCGGGTGCTCGTGCAGGTGAGTCAGTTGTTGAAAACCCAGGTCAACCGGCTTGTATATCCCCCTAAGTAGAGATAAGCCTGTTCTGAGTGGATTATATCCCAAATGACCAACAACTTACTAACTTGGCCGAACATCCAAGTACCCATTGAGACAACCCCTGTTTCTTAGCCGTGCTTTCATTTCTGAGTGTGTCGTAAAATCAAGGTACCCCCGAAATGGCAAAAGGTTTTGCTCCTGGTGTCCCTCTAAAACCACCAAGGGGTACCAGCTCCTTGTTAAGAGACAGAAGACAGAACTTGTTTGGTTCCCAAAAAAAAGGCCGGAGGGCGGTTGCTTCAACTAAGCTTTTTGCACACCTTGCTTAACCCAAGCTTTTCAGTCCGTCTTGGGCCCATGGTAGAGACTCAACACCAAACCCAAAAGACTTGAAGGGGCGATAGGCGGAAACTTGGTTGACGTTGGAAGGGGAGCACAAATTCTCAAAATTTAGCAGGCCAGTGCTTGGATTTCAACCACTAAACCACAATAAGCAAAAATGGGGAAAATGTGTCCCAACGACAAGCATGGAAAGAGAATTGGATTTACCACACATTGGGGTTACCATTCATGTTCATGACTGGGTCAGAAGCACTCAAGGAGGCAAAACATGTGGGTAACCCCACACAGAAAATAATTTCCAGCTACCACCATAGTAGGTAACCACACATGCTTCCTAGCGGCTTCTAAAGGGTGGATCCTTTTTCGCTACCTGCTGTACAAATAAGTGGACTCACTGGCTTATAAGTCCTCTCTTCCGTGGGTACCGGGATTTCTCACCACTTGCCAAGAATCCTGGATTCAAATGACCCTTAACAAACAAACGATATCGCCCTACAATTATGATGTGCATCTCATTCTTTCTCAGGGTACACCCTGCTCCAAACACTGGCTTGTTTTAGTTATGTGTTGAAACATATGGGTTTTCCATGGCTTTTCAGTCAGGGGTGGACGTGATACCAACTACGAAAAGGCGCCTGGACCATCTGAATACTCTTTGCAACGGGGTATCGCAACCGAAAGTCTGGCTGGCGACGTCCATCCTTTTTCTGGGAGCGGGTTTTTAGAGCTTGCGGGTACCTGAACCCTGCAACTATCCTTTAAACCATTGGAACTCACCCACCCTAAGGGTCATGACCCCTCCAATGCAGATCCCAGGACCCTGCAATGGAGAACCCCGACCAATTTCTCAAGGGTCCGAAAGAAAACAACCCATGATTAACTAGGTCCTCCAGTAAAGAGGTTAGAATAAGGGTACCAACTTTTTCTGTAGTCTATTTTAGTAGGGGAACCCCTCCCAATCAAAAAGAAACGGGGAAAAGGGCAGCTAGATGGGGGAAGGAGACTCCAGGTACTCATAAAGAAGTTGCAATGCACCCATTCCATCATTTTGGGTTGCAATCACCCATGGTTAACGGATCGAGCAAATGGAGCGCCTGGTCCACGCCGAGCTGGGCCGCGGACTGAAAGGCGAGGCTGGAGACGAAGGGCTGGATGGAGGTGATGAATCGCATCAGCAGCCTGGGGCCAACGACTTGAGAACTCAACTAGGTCCTCCAGTAGAGAGGTTAGAATAAGGGTACCAACTTTTTCTGTAGTCTATTTTAGTAGAGGAACCCTCCCCCAAAAAAGGACTACCGGGCACCTAGTCAAACTTGACTCCTGGAAAAAGGGGGTCATGACCCTTATCTTTTTTTGGTAATGACCAACCATTTTTACAGGGTCCTGGAGAGAATGCAGGTACTTGAGAACTCAAAACTCTGCGAACAAAATCAGTGGCCCTCCCACCAGCTCACAAAGTGACCCCTGTAGAAAGGCTACTGACTCTTCTTGGACAGCACCTTCTTGCACTTCCATGTTAGTTGGTGGGAGGGTAACCCGACGTGTTTGGAGCAAAAACCAATTGTTGGGATCATGTTGAGGGTGCAGGGAGCTCTAGAGGAGTATAGTATGGCCTCGCGAAATATATTTTTGGATGTTCGACCACGCCAGGTAAGCAGGTTTCAACCGCGGATTCAAGTAGAGTAGCTGGGGTTGGTCCCCTCTTAGCTTACCAAAAAAAAAGGATTCACTGGTTAACCATATTTTTGAGCTATAACCAATTTTAAAGCTTTTATTTTGAGGGTCCAGGTAGCCCCGGGGACCTGCTTCTGGGCGGTCGCGGGCAACACATACGTTTTTGCCGTACACTTGCAACATCTACCGGAGGACCGCCTTCTTGATTTGGCAACATGGGTGATGGCGATGGTTCTCCTCAGGGGCTCAGGGCAGTTTCTGCCATTCCTGATTCCTGAGCCCAAAAAACCTAAGCCCAACTGGCGCGTTGCTTTAGTTGGTATCATGTCAACACCGGGAAGTGGTTTTCTCGTAACATTTGGCTGTGGGTCACAAACAATGGTACCATTTTGGGGTAGGTGCACACTCCATTTTTGTCTATTTCGTGGGGGTTGGGATGTTTATTGGGGATACGGGATTTTGACCCTTGGCCAGGTATCTTCTCACGCAACTAGCGGGCGCAGCCCTGAGAGAGCAGAAAGAGAGATCCATCAACCCCTGACTAAGAAAGGAGTTTTTTTCTTCTCAACTTGGTTGCTCTTGACCCCCCTGCAAAACAGGAAAACACCTTTATTTCCCAAAAAGTTAAAGTCTGAAGATCCAACCCAATAACAATCAAGTCAGCAAACGCCTAAGGACAAAGTGGGCCCGACATGGCCTGAGTTTCCCGAATTGACCCCCAACAGCAACGGGGGCAACGACTTGGTATAGTAACACATGGCCCACATCTGGGGACGGACGCTCAAACAGCCAGATTTTGAGACCCCCAAACACCTTTAGGGTGTTCTGGCACTGCCGCTGTGGCGTTGTGCGCATTTGAAGCATCGAAAGTCTGCAGACTTTGGGTGGGTGAAATCAGTCTGGGCGAGGCGTGGTGCAAGTTGCAAACATCGACAGCGCAGGACCTGTGAAGACTTCCTTGCAGGAGATCTTGTAGAGGATGCTCTCTACAGAACTTGGACAGAGAACTTCGATACGGAGGATCCAGTACACAGATCTTGCCAGGAGATCCGATCAAACCATCTTGCGCCGAGATCCTGTAAAATCCGCTCCAAAGAGACTTGTGCTGGTTCTTCATAGAGATCATTTCCAAAGACCTTGCACAGGACGCGCAAAGAGTTCCTTCACAAGCGCGTGTAGAGGACGCTTCCTTCGAATTTGTAGAGGGTCGTTTGAGGGATCCTGTGCACAGATCTTGCCGAGAGATCCTATCAAGAAATCTTACGCACAGATCCTGTAAAACTCCTCCCACTCCCACTGATATATTGTGTTTGTCGTTCGTAGGAGCCATCGCAAGAAGTCTTGCGCAGGACCTGCAAAACTGTCCTTGCGCGAGACCTTGGGCTCTACAGATCTGGACCAAGAACTTGTACATAGAGGATCCTCTCGACCTAGTACACTGATCTTGCTAAGATCCTATCTGATTCCTGCAAAATTATGCAACAGGATGCGTCCAACACATCATAGGGATCGGGATCCTGCGCACGGATATTGCCGAGATCCTATCAAACGATCCTATCCAGAGAAATTGTGCAGAGATCCTGCAAAGATCCTCTCATTGAAGCCTTGCACTGGTCAAGCGTAGGGAGACTCAGGAGACTGCGCGAAAATCTTGCCAAGAGATCCTCTCCGGAGATCTTGCGCAGAGATCCTTGCAAAGATCCCTCTACAGAGATCTCCTGGACTTCCTGTTCAAGTATTATTAGTAGACGTTACTTTGGACAATACCTTGCGCATACCTTGTTTCAAACAAAGATCTTCTATAGGAGCTTTCAGAAGGATTCTGTTTGCAAGCCTGCGCCCGACCTTCTAGCGAGACTCCTTTTTGGTCATTTAAAAATGGTACAAAAACAAGTGAGCATCTGCTGTGGTTACTTTCATGTTACCCGCATGGATTCCTGTCACAATGAACTTTCACCACTCTTTGGGGTTGCCTGCCGGATTGCTCTTGAATTGCTCTTGACCCCTCAAAGACCCCTCAAACACCCATCATGGTCTAGGTATGGTTTAAGCTCGGGGGCCCGCTGCCTTAAGGGCCCACGGTTGCAGGGCAAGAGGCCGCTTCTCAGCTTTGCTCAGATGCGCATCTTGGAAGATCTCGCCTGAGTGGAAAACTGCGCACTGACAAAATGGAGCCGAAGCTTCATTGTGCTTGGCATGTTGTTTTCAAAAAAAAACAGTTCCTAGATAGCCAAGTTGCTGCTTTTTTCAGTCACTGTTGCTGTTTTTGGGGGTTAAACGGTTAAACGCATGGACAAAAAAAACAGCAACTGGCGATCCAGGTGGTTTCTTTTAGCGGCTGCCAACGAGTGTATGTTTGCCTCACATGACCAGGGGAAAGAAAGGGTCGGCAGCAATCCTACAAAGGGCCGAGTTCGAAATGGGCTTTTGCATCAGAAGTGTGAGGTGAAATCAGGCTCCAATTCAATTCATTTAGGGCCCTCATTAACCGCCAGGTTTTGAGACCCCCTCAAAGGGTTTGGGAGCCTTTGGGTAGGTTTGAGGGTCCAGGTGCAAGTAGAGTCTCCATGACCCTTAAAAAATGGTTGGTCATTGCCCATAATGAAGTCATGAAGTCATGGACCTACTTTTTTAAGGGTCAGAAGGCGACTCCCACGGTAATTTGCAGTCTCCCCACGGCCGAAGCCGAGACCGCGACCGCGGACCGCGGATCGGATGATCGGATCGCCGGGCTGCTCTTGGTGAGGGGCACGGAGGCGAGGCCATTGGAGGTGAGCACGCGGGTGAACTTCAGGCCCTGGAACTCCAGGTACCTCCAGGCGATCTGCGTCGGGAACCCCCTAGGGACCCCTAAAAATCCCTAAGGAAGTTGCGAGGGATCCCTAAGGAACCCCTAGAAACCCCTGGGGATCCCTAGGGATCCCTAAGGAATTTTTCGAGTTTTTTTAGGGAACCCTAAGGAAATCTAGGAACTCCCCCAGAAAACCGCCTGCAAAAACCTGTAGGGACCCCTAGGGACCCATGGGGATCCCTAAGGATTTTTTCGAGATTTTTTTTAAGGGATCCCTAAGGAAATCTGGGGATTTCGAAGGAACCCCCCAAAAACCTTAGGGAAGCCTGGTAAAACCCTAGAGAACTCACAAGAAGTCCAATTCTATTGTGGAGGAGGGTGGAGCGGCAAGACCCAAGTCTATGTACCTAGTATTCAGCATAGGGAAAATGGAGTTCCGGCAGTCACCCGCCCTCTTCAAGTCCATGACGTCAGGAACTGAGTTAGGAATGACGTTGAACATCCAAGTACCCGAAATAGAACATCACTAGTCGGCACACTCGGTTGCTTTCTGCTCCCCTGCTAAAAGTTTAACTTTTAGTGGCGTAGTTGAAAACCTTTTAGTTGGCAAAAAGTTACAGTCCTAACATCCAAGCAAAATGCAACAAAGCACACCAAAAGGGACATTTGACCAACTGGGGCAAGGCATGATGCCCTCAAACATGCGTTCCAGCCCAACACGATGGTTGGTACATCGCCCTTTTCTAAGGATTCTTTGGCGTCAGGCAGGCATCCTTCTTGGTGGACCGCGTGTGTGGAAGACCGTTCTTTTAAGAGGCAATTTATCTGATGAGTTCCGTGGCAACGTTGGTTGGGGGCGAACTTTTCTGTACAAACAGCGTCCCCACGACACTGGTAAGAAAAACATCCACGCTACTTCCACTACCTTACTCAAGGGATCTTAGCGGTTCCTCTAATGAATGGTGGATAAAAATAATATAAAACAACCTTTACTAGGTCCTCCAGTAGAGAGCTTAGAGTAAGGGTACCATGATTGATTGTTTTTTTGCAGTATATAGGGGACCCCTCCGCCAAAAACAAGTGGTAAAAGGGCACTACTGGGGACCTAGTTTGGAATGGGGATGCACGATATGATCCTGAGGTTTGCTCCATAACTCTGCTAAGGCTCATGACCCCTCCAATGCACACCCCTGGCAATCCATATTTCTCCATCCACATTTCCCAATTCACATCTGTATAGATGTTGACAAATGTCTATTCTCGCCAACGCATGACATTCAAGGAAATCCTTGCCATTTTATTGTTGTGACTGACCACCCCCAGAGTTGCGTACTGAAGTTTGTGGGTGGAATTAGGCGGAAAACCAACATGTCACAGAAAAATCGCTCAGCAACAAAGCAGGCTTCGTTTCGGCGACAACCAGGTTCCAGGCGCAAAAAAAAAGGGGGGCCAAAGCCGGCCGGCCCGAGGCAAGTTCACCATAAGCTTCAAGAACTGGGGTTTCAAAGCGGCCATTGGGCCCAGTTTGAGAAACCTCAGATCCAAGAAACCCATTGGTTCTCGAGTCCGAGTCCTCGCTACAGGTTGGTCTTCTCAAGCTCAAAGCCCCGGACCCTCAAATTCCGCACAAGGATGGGAGTTTTCACCGGCCAGATTTTGTTGGGGGGCAATCACCTAGTCTTCAAGGTTGTTTGAGGATCCAGGCAGAAACTACGGAAGGGTGTCCTCAAGACTTTATAAAGTCCAGAAACTGTCAGTTGAAAGTACAAAGATCCAAAGATCCGCTCTCAAAATAGCCCTTAAGTGTCCACCTCAACCGTCATCATCCCCTCCACAATTGGTTATAGCCCTAAAATTCTGGGGTAAAATTCCATTGTTAAGGGTAGCTTGATCAGGTCCTCCAGTAGAGAGGTTAGAATAAGGGTACCCTTTTTGCTGTAGTCTAGTCTATTTTAGTAGGGGAACCCTCCCCAAAAAAAAACGGTCAAAGTTGGCACCTAGCTGGGGGACCTAGTTGAGGGTCCAAACTGTGATTAAATCCCATTGTTAAGGGTCATAGCTCGTCAACATTCCCTTACAAATCGGTAATAGCCCCAGGCGATTTTCCAACTTTTAAGGGTAGCTTGAGGGTCCGGGGTCAAACATAGGTACTCAAAGTAGAACCCGGTAAATGCCAAGGGCTCAAACCTGCAGTCCTCGAGTGGTTCCAAAAACTGCCCCACCGCCATGTCCACCCCCCCGAAGTGGCCCGGGCCCTTCCGCGCCTGGCCACGCCGGACTCGATGAGCACGTCCACCTCGTCCGAGCGGCCGTAGAGCAAGCGCGGCGTGAGGTCCAGGCCTGGGCCCAAAAAACACGGGCCGAAGCTTCGGAGAGCAAAAGGGCCACCGGAAAAACCTGAAACTGCGCGTCAAAAATGCGGTGAGTTGCAACCCAAGATGATGGTTGGTGAATTCCATTCCCGGTTTTGTTGATGGGGAGTTTCAGGGCCCAGGTAGGGTGTCCCCTTGTTAGTGGGGTTGCATCGCTTTTGGAGGAGAACACCTTACTGACTGGGCGAACTTCACACCCTCAAGTAACTACATGGCCATGGGTCAAAATCCCGTACCCCCAGTGAACATCTCAGTCCCCACTAAAATAGACTAAAACGGGTGGTGCACCTATCCCAAAATTACCATTGGTTTTGACCCACAGCCACATGACCCTACGGGCCCCGGACAGTTTTGGAGTTCTCACAAAAATCCGAGGGCTGGTTCTAAATTAGAGGGTCATGACCCTCGGGGGGGGGGGGGAAGGGGGAAATCCCTTCTTCCCAATCCTAAAGATCTCCCTATATAATGAAATGCTGCCAAACCTTCCCAAAAAACAGGTCAGGGCATACTACAATTATAATAGGCAAATTCTACACCAATACTAAACCAGCGATGCTCCCTCGTGACCCAACTGAGCCGTATCAGGGCCTCTCAATCCCCGGGAAGGAAAGAGAATACTTGGTGCCGCAACTCAAACTACTTCCTGCCGAAAACAAAATCAGAGGCCCGAGGCCCGAATCTTGGTTTGCCCTTCTTTTTTTGCTCTGGGGGGGGCCGCGTTTAAGATTAGGAGGAAGATCCTCCCTGTTTGGTGTTCTTAAAGGGACGCCCAAAGGAAAACCGCAGATTTGTTGGGGTCCAAACCTCAAAAACTTGCACACACACACACACACGTACACAGGTGGGTCTCTCTTTACGGGAAACACTAAAATGGCGGTTTTCCTTTTGGTTTCCCTTTAAATCCACAAAAGATGGATACCTAGATGGCCAAGTTGCTGCTGTTTTCGGTGCTGGCGATCCAGGTAGCCTCAAAGAAAGACACCCCAAAAAACACCCATGGGAAGGAGCCCTTCGCGTCTTCGGCCTTTTTTTTTTTTTCGGCCGAGGTGCTGAAGGACGTGGGGCTCCGCAGCAGATCGTTCTGCATCTGCCGCAACTGGTACCCGAAGAGCTCATCGAACGGGTCCCACTCCTCAGGATCCCGCACAGCCAACGAACCAACGAACCAACCAATCGAGCAACCGAGCAACCGAGCAAGCAACCGAGCAACCAACCAACCGAGCAACCAACCAACCAACCAACCAACCAACCAACCAAGCAAGCAAGCAAGCAAGCAAGCAACCAAACCAAACCAAACCAAGCCAAACCAAGCCAAACCAAAACAAACCAAGCCAAACCAAGCCAAACCAAGCCAACCAACAAATAAGGGACCAGCCTTAGTATAAAAAAAGGATATAGGCAAAAGGAAACCATCCTTAAACTCACAGCTGCGTCAGAAAACCAACACCACAGAGCCATGCTGGAATTTACAGGGTGTCCCTGATGCTAGGGTTCCTTGCCGACAATGACAATCACTAGGAAAACAACAATGGTTTTGACCCCCCTTTCTTTAATGGTGGGTTGAATCGCAGGGCTTATTTACTTAGCTCATCCCCCGTATCCTTACAACATACCCTTAGAAAAGGGTTGATTGCCTGCCCCGATGGTCGGTGAATTTCGGTCCCCCAAAACACAAACGGGTATTTGGAGTGGGGGGGATGCGTGTGCTTGTTTTTTTCTTTGAGGGTACCTTGCCAGAGGGATCCCACGCAAGCCAACCCCTCGGCTCATTTACTGTTTTTGGCTTGTTCAAGGGTGTTTGTTGTTGGTTAGCTATACTCAGCCAACCTCTAGTGAGAGGGGAAATGGGACACCACCCTATATTTGTTGGATTTCACATCATGCTGGATCGCCAGTTGCGATCGCTTTGTTCCATCCACTTTACCCCAAAAGCCAGCAACAGCAACTCGGCTATCCAGGTACCCTTATCATAGCCTTAAAACAGTCACATTCGTATTCTGGGTAGGAGGTATTTCTGCGCGGGTGAACCCGGAGCTCATCTCCGACCGTCCGAAGTCGAGTTCCGAGCGTCAAAGCTTCGGTCTTCAAAGCATGAGGCTGGCCTTTGCAAATCGATGGCATTGACCCCCTCCGGCAGCGCCTGACACGGATACAACTGGACCGAGCCTCAACATAAGCACGTAACCCACACAATACCCACCTATATGACCCCTAGAAAAAGGGGTCATGACCCCTTTGTTTTGGGTGACGACCCCATTTTTAAAGGGGTCATGGAGACTCGAGGTAGATAGCCAAGTTGCTGCTTTTTCAGTCACCGTTGCTTGTTGTTGGGGTAAAGCGCATGCAAAAAACAGCAACTTGCGATCGGCACTGGTTTCATTGAATTTACCTCGCACAAATTACCCGAACTTGGGGGGTATCCATAACATCGTCCCCAAAATTATGGTTGGTGAACCTCCCTGCATTCTTTCAATGGGGGCATGAATCGATACCAAGTTGGCTGACCGAATTTTGGGTAGATAATGGAGACAAAATGTACCTGGACCCTCAATATACCCCTTAACACAAGCTATTACCCAACAACTATGGGGTGGAATCATTGTGTCAAGGGGTAGTTTGAGGGTTTGGGTACATCCACACCTCCTGTTTTACAAGTGGATCTTCCTGAACATTCGCTGGTAAACGTGAGTTTTTTAAGTGGCCCAAAATGATGTATCCTTTAAGGTACCCGTCAACAAAAATGCGACACCAGCTGCGCAAGAGTTGGCGCTTCTTTTGCATTGATTCTTCATCGTAAGTTCAAACCTGGAACACTCAGGGATCAACACTTCCTCGCAAGAAATGAAATCTTGTGTGTACGTGTTTTTCTAGAGTAACCTTGTCATGTTGGCTTGAAGGGAAACCAAAAGGACCGATTCTGGTGTCCCTCGGCGCGCCGTTTCCGTGAATGCACCCAACTCTTTGGCAGTCCTTCAAACACTGTTTTCAGCGTGAACTTCGACAGAGCTTTTCTATAGGTCCTCCAGTAGAGAGGTTAGAATAAGGGTACCAACTTTTTCTGTAGTCTATTTTAGTAGGGGAACCCTCCCCCAAAAAAGAAAAAAGGACACTACTGGGGGACCTAGCCTTTTTGTCCGGAAAGGACCACGCTGTTGCGCGAAGAACTCCAAGCCGAGATCTTTGCCAATGCAAGCGGTGGGCTGTTTGTGGCCGGCGTTGCCCTTCGCAAATGGGTCCATCAGCGTTTCAGCAGCTTGCCACTATCATTCTACCTGAAGTCTCCATGACCCTTTAAACATGGGTGTATGACCCTATTTTGGGCAATGACCCCTTTTGTAAAGGGTCATGGAGACTCCAGGTAGGGGTCGATTCCCCCTTCTGTTCAACCTCCTGCCAAGAACCAGATTTGATTTCCCTTGGTTTTCGGAGGCCTTCTAAAAAAAGAAGGATCCCTGCGAAGAATGGGGAAGGCGCCCTTAGAATCACGCTGTCTTTGACCTGCCAACCTATCACTTGGTGTGGTCCATTTAAAACACACCCACTTACCAAAGCTTCCAAATCTCATGCTGACAAGGGTTTAGGCAACATATACCACCTGGGGAGCCAAGTTGCTGTTTTTTGCAGTCACTGTTGCTGGTTTTTGGGGTAAAGTGGATGGAAACAAGCAGCAACTGGCGATCCAGGCAGATCATCCGCTAGCTCCAATGGCGAAAGGTTGCGAAATTCCGATGGAATCGGTCCGGTTCTTTGTTTCCCCCTATGGGATCTGCTCCGAAATCTGATGTAAATCGGGAGGAATGGCTTTTGAAAGGTTTGGATGCTTGCCACCTACAGGTCAATCCTCAGCTGCTCAGATCCCCTGCTCAAAGTTTAACTTCTAGTGATTTGGCTGTGGGTCAATACCCTGTCAGTGAACATCCCAATTCCCACTAAAACCCCGGTTCTAAAACGGGTGGTGAATTCACCTACCATTTCCAAACTGGGATCCCAAAACGGCTTTGACAACCATGGCCATTTGGAGAGTTTCTCACTGGACCAACTGCAAGCCTCAAAAATGCAATTCAGGAGCCGGATCGAATGCTTGAAGCGATAGCCGCGCAAACCGGCCCTCCAATGAAGCGAATTGAACACCATCGAGTTCCTCCGGGCGCTGAAGGGCCCTCAAAAACCACCCGTTTTGAGGGCCCAACCCATTTTGACGGTTGAAAACACTCGACTTGGAGCCTTAGCGCAGTCCCAAAATCAAGAAATTGGTCGAGTCATGACGCCCTTTTCATTCGGGGTCAGAAGGAGACTCTAGGTAGGTTTCAAGGGCCAAAAACAATCGGACTGGAGCCTTCGGGCGTTAAAAATCCCCTGGGACTCAAAAACTCAAAATCCTTCCCGAGCTTCGAGCCTTCCTCGAGCTCGTGGCTTCCATCGCTTCCGGCGCCGGAACCTCCGCCGGCCTGGCCAAGGGCTGATCGAAGCGAGCGCAAAAAAAGCGAGCCGGAGCCGCAAAATTCCCTCAGCAAAAGGGAACTCACATCCTAAATCCTCAAAATACACTCAGAAAAGAATTGGAATTCACTTCCTCATTTTCGGGCCACCCAGTTTTAAGGGAATTGTGCGGGTCCACGACAGTAATTTTGAGGCAATGCTTTCAAAAGGCTTTGCTGAGGGTCCAGGTAGCGTGTGGGTTACTTAGCTGAGTTCTTAGCTTGTCATTTCGTCAGTCAGTGAGTCAGTTAGTCAGCTAGTCAGCTCGTCAGTTGGTCAGAGTCACTTAGTCAGTTTGTGGCTTGGTCAGTTGGTCGGTTGGAGTTCGTCCGTTAGTCAATAAACGAGCAGTCAATCAATGTGTCAACTAATCAGCTAGTCAAACCTCTCGTATGAACCCTAGTTGTAGTTGTTGGTTAAGTAACGGTCAATTATTGTCAATCGTGCTTGGATGCTCAACCTGCTTAGTATGTAGGCCACAACCATGCTTGTTTGCCAACTAAGCCTTGTAACAACCTACCTGGAGGCTCCATGACCCTCCGTTTTTTGCCTCCGAAGATGCCCCCCTTATTTTCAGGGCCATGCGGAAAAAAAAGGACAGTTTAGTAGGAAAAAGGGTCCCTCCTTTCATGTTACAAAGTCTTCTTGGATCTTTGTCACAATTCCTGTCAGAGTTTGTGAATTGGATGCAACAGTCACAAGCCGGCGACAAGGAGCAATCCAAGATCCGAAGTCAGCTTCGCCACGCAACTCTGAAACATTTGGTTGTTTGGAAGCTCCCTTTCCAGTCGGGCGGTCAAAAACAACCACGGAAGAATCATAACTTTCTAAACCCTCGAGTCATGAAAACTGTTGTAGGCAGAAACCTGCAAATCCATGACAACCTTCGACCCCACAACCTCGCCCGCTGCCCGGCCATGTTGCGCTGGCGATCGGCTTTGTCGTCATCTTGGTCCGGCGCCGCCCTAAGATATGTGCGTAATCGCACACACAGTTCCTGAAAAGCGTGGACACGGCCACGCAATTAATTTGTTGATTCTCAGATGGATTTGCCAGGGAAACCGTTTGTTCGTTGCGCGTATCTCGCTTGACTGGTCCATGCATGAGGGTGGGTTCCTCCTGGTTACCCTCGATGGGATATGTCACAAAGAAACCATGCAATCACCTAAGCAACTTTTGGAGCACGATGATTCACAAGAGCGTGCGTGGCTCTCCCTGGCTAGTCGCCCCGCCACACAAAGTGTAGCTTGAGCAAATAGCGTTCTATACACCGCAAGGTCGTGCTACTAGCATGCACAGCCCGGCTCAGCCTCGCGAGCTTGCCGATGTAGTCTTCGTCGGCTTCTGCGTTGTGCACTGCCGGATTTAAGATGCTGCTGGCGCCAGCCGCGATGGCTCCAGACAACTCCATGTAGAAGTGGTGCATGGAGTGAAGGCTTGGCTCCAAGTGAAACCTCCGGAGCGACTTCTCAAAGCTCAGCTTGGCCAGCTGACTATAGTTCTGCGTGAACTGCAGGCACCCCGTGGCCATTGACTGTGCCGCTGCCACATCCAACCACACACCCTGTGTGTGCAAGGTGTGAAAGAAGCGAAGGGCGCCTGTGCAGGCTCGCACAATGCACTCGAAGAAGGCTTTGTGCCAGATCTGCAGAGGGTAAGCCAGCGGGCTGCGCGTCTGCCTGCCGGTGGGGTCTTCTGACTCAAGGAAGAAACCGTGCGTAAGCAAGTGCCGCAACCATCGTACCATGAGCATGCAGTCGCTGCCCTTGAAGCGCCCGTGCGGGTAGCTGTCCATGTTCGGAAAGTGGAAAAGCGCCTTTGTGAAATGCTTCATGTGCGTCACGTGCTTGCCATGCCATTCCTTGCAGGAAAGGAAGCTTTTGTGAGCGCAAGACGCTTCACACCCGGGCGCAGAAAGAACATACAACGACCCTTGCGTAAAGGTAGACTAGCGAAAAGTGTGATATTCATATACATGCTGCTGTGAGAACACACTTGGTTTGAGTTTTCAACAAAAAACAAGCCCAGCTCCTTCTTCACGAAGTGCTGAAAGTCATCGAAAGCCCGCGCCAGTTTGTTGTCAACGGCCGTGCTGCACCCCGGCCAGTAGCCCAGGTCGGTCAAAAGCACCACGGCGCTGGCCACGAAGTGACCGCCTATGGACTGCTTGAAGACGTGGAACGGGTCTCTCCGGAAGAAGCCTTCTGGCAAGCAGAGCCTTGCTGGGATGGTTGCCAACGCGCCCGGCGAAGTCCAAGGAGGGACCAAACCAATGGTCTCAGCCCAAACCGGCGACGTCCCCACATCCTCGAACGGGTAGTCGTCCCGGCCAGCCAAGCATTCCCAGCAGCAGCCCTTGTTCTTGCCCATGTTCATGAACGACCGGTTGAAGTTGCCGGCTTTGACCAGCATCGGGGCGTCCGCCTTTAGACCAAGGCACACTGGGTAGAACTGTGTGCCACGCACCTTGACACCCTCGGTCATCATCTTGGTGCACTCCTGCGCGATGATCTCCAGGAAGCCCTCCATGGTGCGCTCGTTCTTGCCGGTGTACATCTTCTTCGGGAGGATGGTGAAGAGCAGGCGGCTGTTGTAGGTGTCACCCCGTGCGTTGTGGAACTGGCTAGCTGTCATGATCTGGTGCATAGACTCGTCGCTGACGTCAGTCCGGTCTCGGAAGGCTTGGTAGAAGCGCTCGGCCGTGCACTGCCCAAACACCGGCTGGGCGCTGATGATGAGCACAGCGCTTTTGCGAAGTCCTGTGCCCTCGTCCATGTGCAGGTAGAACGGCACGCACTGGCTGAGCTGGCCAGCCTGCAGGGAGTAGACGGCGTGCTCACCCATGGTCTGCTGGAGGTTCGCCCAGAACGTGTCCAGAAGAAGCGTCGCGTTTCCACTGTCGTAGTTGAAGCCCCCCAGCAAGAATTCCGGCTTGTTTCGCAGCAGGAAGGGAAACCACGTGCTGCTGAGGCTCAGGTACTGGACCTTGAGGCTTCCGAAGCTGCACGTGGAAATTCCAAGAGGCACTGCAAGCTTGCGCTTTCTGAACAGCCTGTGGAGGTCCCTCTCTGCGTTGTTGAGGTGCCGAGTGTTTGCAGCCCGCCTGAGCTCCGCCAAGTCCTTCTCGCACACACTGCCAAACTCCTTCAGCGCGCTGTTCGCAAACTTCTTAATCCTTGTGGCCGGGGCCTAGGCGCCGAGTGGCCATATGGTTTTAGACACACAGCCGAGCTATTAAGTCCGTTCCATTTGGCATCGGCTTCTAGCCAAAGTTGCTCCGTCCGCCAAGGAGAGCGCCAGGTTCTGCAAAAGGCAGCCTGCCTCCACGTTGCTTTGACCTGGCACACATGTGTGCAATCAAACGCTTTCTTCATGTAGCTCGCTAATTTGCCCGTGTGCTGAAATGCAGGCGAGCGCGTAGCACGGAAACAAGATACAGTTCGCTTGTTTTTCCTCTTCGCGCGATACCTCATTTCTAACTCTATAGGACTTGCCAGCGTTCCTAACGCATAGTCTGCCCACAGCGATGTTACCCGCAACAGGTTCATGAGTATAAGTGAGATCTGGACAGATACACTCACCCCCAACACTTGAAAAAAAAGTGTTTTAGACCTCTTTTGACAGCTAGCTCGCTATAATGGCAAACTAAGATGCACTGGCTCACCCAAAACTGGTCCAAAAATGAACCTTTTGCGACTACTTGCGAGCACCACGCTTGGGTGCCCCCTTTGGCTTCGGCTCTGCCTGAGGCCCAGCAGCCGCCTTCGGCTTTGGCAATGCCTTCGATTTAGCCTTCGCAGCCTTTGCGGCAGACTTGGGGAGAGGGATGCTCTTGGCACGCGTTTCCAAGGTCAGAGACTCCTGCGCCCTCAGTGCGCAGGCGCATATAGCGCCATTGAACAAGCAACTTTCACAGATGCCAAAAGAGTTTAACTCGCGTGCATGCCACGTGCTCAGGCCATGGACTGAAGCAACCGAGTGGCTCTTTCTGAGCCTTCTTGTAAACGGAGGTGAGCTTCTCCTCGTTCCTTAGATGTCAAATCTAAGTCCCATAATTTGCCTCCACCCCCAAGCCCTTGCAAGCAAATCGCACAGGTTCAAGTGGAACTGTTCGACGGTGCTGCGATTTGTTGAGCGGCTTCGCTAGGGCAGCTAAGGTTCGCATCCGTGTATCCCTCCACTGCGCCATGCGAAAACACCGTGTTGATTTCTGAGTGGATTGTGTCAAGGGTTTGGACCTTCTCCTCAAGTTTGATAATCAGCCTCAGAGTTGCAAAGCGAAAAGCAATCGTCCTGAGGTTTTGGAAAGTAAAGAGCAACCGCCATCAAGCGAACCCTCAAGTAAACCAAACCCACTGTATATATGTGTTAAGACAAAAACCAAATCGTTTGTTTTACCAGTGAGGGTAAGGACAATCGCCGAACGGAGTCCAGAAGCGCAGATTGTGCGGGTGTGCGGCTTTCCTCGGGAATAGCCTCGTACTTGTTCTTCAGTTCCTGAAGGACCCTGCTGGCAATTCTGGAGGTGAAGTTGCAGCTGCAAAGAAACCCAAACGGCCCCATGGAGTTTAAGAGGGTTTTCAATCTTTCTGGACGTTTCCACCTTCAGGGATGTGCTGCCCAGGCCAGTTTTTTTGACAAGGGGCAGCCACCTTCATCGCCCGTTTGGTCACCCCTTCCATGTACTTAACGATCACCTCCGAAGGTTTCTCATTTTTCAGCACCCTTGGAAGGGTAGAGGCGGGGGCAGCGCTCTGAGGCTTTGGTGGCGTCTGACTGCTGCTGCCAGCTTCGCCACCAGTGCCTTGGATTGGATAAGTGTGGCTTGGTGGCCCGAAAGGCGCTAGCTGACAACGCTAAGAAGGAGTCGAGGATCCGTTAGTGGCTGTAGCCATGTTGACTTGAAGAGGGGCCGACATGTCGGTGACAGCATCCGACGCATTGACTTCCACGGTGTAATTTACCTCTTCTCTGCGGGCCCTTGACTCAGTCTTGGACCACTCAGTCTCTGCATCTTCTTCGACGTAATACTTGAGCTTTGCCTCGTATTTGTCATACCTTGGGCCATGGCACATGGAGGCATTTTTTGGAATTTGTGGATACTAACCCCGCCATTGAAGGGAGGCAAGATTGACAGCGACTGAATTGACCGACATCTCACGTTACCCAATGGCTGGGCCTTCTGCCAGACAGGGCGGTTCCATAATATTTGCTCAGCAGCTTGGTGTACCCTTCCTTTTTCGTGCAAAACTCCTTGATGCCACGGATGAGGCTCCTTGGATACATGCTACTGCATTTGAGAGGAAGCTGTCGCAAGAACTATCCGATCTGGCTTACAAACAAGGGTCTCTTTGTAGTGCAAGGTGTCCCGCATGGTGTCTTCTGTTGCCCAGAAATTGCGGCCCCTGTAGGTGATTTGCTCTTTTGACTCCAGCTCCAACTGCACAGCCTTCAAGAAGGTTTCCTGCACACCAGGCCCTGGTATAAACATTTTCTGGAGGGTGGGTCAAACCAGGCGGGGTCATTTTTCAGAATGATTTCTACACCCAAGGCGCCGCTTGCAAAGTAACTTTCGATTCAGGGACTGTCAACACAGCGTCCTTGTCAAAATTTGCCTCCTGAAGAAGTTGAAGGAGGCGGGTTCGCTCCGCCCCTCCCGCGGCCCAGGCAAGGTGGACCTTCTCAGGCACGCGCGTCTTCCTGAGTGTCGGGCATGAATGGAACTTGTGGGCAGACCTCATGTTTTTAGTTCAGCGTTCCGATCTAGATTTCCCTTGCTTTTCCCTTTACAGCAAATGAGGACCCGTGCCCGTGAATGGCCATCACACGTTAAAAAGCTGATAAAGTGTAGAATGACCAACTTGAACCGAGGGAAGTGAGGGGTTGGAAAAACAAGCAGAACAATGTTGTGTTCTTGATTTTGTTTCCTTGGCACGCCGTTCAAATCATCAAAGGCTCCCGTCAGCTTTCTTCTCGCATAAGCGCGCTAGGCGCTTCATGCCGGCCTCCTTGCTCAGGCCTGAGTCCTTCTCGGTTTCTTCCTCCGGCTCCCCCCGCAATTGTAGCTGCGCAAGGCTGTCCCGGAGCTCTCCCACCTCTCGGTTCAACTCGATGTTTTCAAAGTTCAAGCGGTCCACTTCACCCTGAAGCCCCTGGCACTTCTTATGAATATCCAAGTGCTCCGGACATTCCCCCAAGGATGGCTGCGCAGCAGGGATTGTGTCTGTTGCATATGGGTCTTGGCTGTCTTCCAAGAGACACTCCTCCTTTCAAGGGCTTCAACAGACAAAACGTAGACTTTTTTTGTGGAGCTCAGTCTGAAAGAACAACGTTGAGTGCCATTTTCAGGCACATCCTAGGCATAACCCAACGCAGGGTCAGGTAGCATATGATGCATGCTTTGCGAACCAGCTAGTGTTTGGCCGTGTCCTGAAAGTTGAGTGGGCGAGGTCGCAGCGGCGAAGTCCCGGCGGAATCGCTCACGCGGCTTTTCTTCAACACCTTTTCAGGTGTGGTCTCGGAAATCGCTGTGGGATGAGAAGACGCCATAGTAGCCTTCATATTCTCCAGCTCCTGCACGTGGCAGGGTACCGATACCACGCTGACTTTGCTGGGCGCCTTGCCCACCAAATGTTGCGTGGTTTAAGCGCCCCCGATAAACCCGGGAGAAGCAGGGAAAGCCGGGAAAGGGGGGAGGTGAGAAGTAATAACAATGGAGCTTACATGTCTAGCCTGAATCAAAAAAAATCGACACTATTCAGAGTTCACCTTCTCTATGCCAACGGTGTAGTCCAAGCTATTGCACACACACACAACAAAAGAGCACTCGTTCCACTCAAACAGGACATTTTCTGACACCAGCATCACCAGCAAACACCCCGTCACCATCCCCCAATGCATCCCCTCAAAATAGAAGACGTATAGGTTGGTGGATCCAGCACTCCAACATCTCAACAGGGTTTTCATTTTTCACAACAGCTGAATTTTCACAACAGCTGAAAGCAATGGGGTCTCAGCCCAGATACAGCTCTGGGGTGGTCTGCGGCGGGTTCCGCGCAACTTCCGCTGCTGCAAGGGTTCGGAGTTCCGGGAGAGTTCTGAAAAGCTTTTGCAAGGGTTTCGGGGATGCACGGTGGTTCCGAGCAGGGAATTCTGCAAGGATTCTGCGAGAGCTCCGGGGGTGCGCGCGGCGGTTCTGAGGAGGGCTCCGCGAGAGTGCTGCGAAGGGTCCGCGAGGGTTCTGCGTGGGTTCAGCAAGGGTTCCGCGTGGGTTTGCGGGATGCACGGAACACTGCGTGAAACAAAATGAGGCGAATCACACATCCAATCCGCACGCCCGATAGGATCGAACTGTTGCGAGGGGTGTAGCCGGGTACCTTCCACATCTGCAGAACCCACACGGGTTCCAAATATAACCTCGCGCTTTACATGTTTTGCTTGAGGGCTGAAACATGGATCGACTGTTTTTGCAGGGAGAAAAAGCATGACCAGGTGTGTTTTAATCTCAGGAAAGCCCGTTGGTTGCTTAAAGTGGCAACAAAACATGGTTCAATTGACCCCATACTTGAACCAACGACTATATACTTTTGTTTGGTACACGAAAAGTTTGAAAGAACAAGAATGCATGCCCAGTTAGCTGGTTCGACTGCATGTTTGTCCCTAAAGGCATTGGGGGGGGGGGATGTAAGGGAGTGTGCCTTGGCATGTTTTTTGGTGCGACAAGATGCTAAGGGAAGACTTGTTTGCTAGTCCCCAAAGATTGCCCAAAAAACTGCTTTTCTTGACCCTTTTCAGGCGCCCGCAGGAAAGAACAAACGGCACACCATGCTTTAGGTGGGACAATATATATTTTTTGGACCCCCAAACGGGGTTTCCTGGCAAAAGCAACATTCCCAATCCTGAAGCTCCCTTTCCATGGCTGCCTCCTCTTCAGCTGGCTCACACTTGACAAGCTGCGTTGCCAAGATTTCATCCCCCTGTTTCAAGGTCTCAGAGCTCCAAGCCTGGCTGGGGAGTTTGTCCGCCATTCCCTTGGAGGCCGGCGGTCGGGCGCGCAAGGCTGCAGGCTTGATGTTCCAATCACTGCAGTGCACTGCAGTGCGTTTCTTCAAGACTCTGGCGTGTGTCAAAGGGCGCATGGCTTTTTGGTCAGACCGTCTTGGGGCAACCCGACTTTGAAGCGTCACAGCAATATCAAGACGGTGCAGGTGCCAATCACAATGTGTTTTATTTTGTCGCGTGCACACACGCAATCAACTTGTTGGAGATTTGGCGCATGCAGTTCTTTCCCGCGAGCCACTTGCCACCGCACGCTAGCTTAGATGGAAATGGTCTGGAAGGGGTAGGGTAGGCCTTCAAGAACAGGGCATGCGGTAACTGTGGATGTTCTGCAGCCGGCTTTCAATTAAGCAAGCTTCCGGCATCCCACCCCAGGGGGTGGCACAAGAAGTCTAAACACAACGTACACAAAATGGGGCCCTTCTTCAGGTGAGGCCGCTTCGCCGCCTGGAGCTTGGTTCCGACAGCCAGGGCTATTTCGAAAAATCCTAATTAACATGCACTCCAGCAAAGCGCTGCTACACGAATTCGTGAAAACAGCGAGGATTTTTATCCCCTGCCAAAGCTCCCGCTTGTCATGGCTGTATCCATAGCGGGGGTGGTTCCATCGAACAATGGGGTTCGAGGTGATCCCTACCTTGAACACGGCCGGGTGGCGTTGCCACAAACGCTTGACAGCCTCCTCCGAATGTTTGAAAATGCTACTGGCGGTCGCCTTTGGGTTTTTGCACAACTCAAACGACAGCTTCCCATTGCAGTAATCGGACTCTGTGCACATGGGGAGTACCTCTGTTTGCAGTCTGTTCTGTGACAGCACGTCGCCCCGCAAGGATTGCAGCCAGAAGGAGCGGTACCCTGGCGAGGCCTGGGTTGCATCATCCGCAGAGATGGTTGGGTGAACACATTGCCCGCCTTCAAGAGAACAGTTCTCATCAGGAAGGTGAGTAGCAGGCTGAGGTGTTGACCCTGTAAGTTCATCCGCGTCTGTGTCCCAAAGGATTGAGGCTAGAGATCGCAGCATTTTGGCAATTGCTGGGACCCCTGCTCACTGAATTAAACTGGACGGCCTGCAGTTTTGAACAAAAGCGGTATGGCGGACGGCACTTGCTGATAGAAAGCAATAATGTCGACTCCGCAAACTGATCATTGGGAAACTCCCCATTTCCCTCAAAAGGTGCAAAAGCTCAAAAGGGAAATGGAATAGGGCGCCCTTTTAATCACAACCCTCCCCCAAACGGTCAAGAGGGGACACCGTGCGAAATGAGATGGTTTCCCGCAGTACGACCCAAAACTTGAAACGCTTCCAAATATGGGCTTGGGGTTGGTTTACCGGAAAATGAAAGGGGCCCCAAGCCAAGTCACACCAAGCCTTTTCACTCCAGCTTATGATATCACCAGGCCTAAGGCCAAAGGCTGGAATCAAGCACAGAACAAACAAGAAACACCCCCCCCCCCGCTCCTGTGAGTTGATCTGCCCCCCCCCCCCCCACTGAAAAAATGAAGGTTCCATTTCGGGCACGCTGCTGTTGAGTCATTGTTCCCATCACTGTGTTGCTCTGCATAGTTTGAAGGGCGCAGGCGTGTCCAAAATGGAGCCCTGTTCGACACGGGCAGCGAAGGGAACCACAAGAGGTCAAGCGCAGTATATGGTAAACATTTTGACATATTGTTCGACCACTCTTTGGGTGACATCGGGCACACGCTCATTTGCCATTTGTTGGAAAACTGGACGGTGCCCTTCAAAATCTTGGCTCCTTGTACCTTTCCCTACCAAGTACCCTTTTTTAAAAAAAAGGGTCACGCCGTCGGACGCGTCCCGGACGGACGGGTTTTCCCGCCTTTTGGACGGGTTTTTCCGCCTTTTGGACGGGGAAAAAAGTCAGGGAGGATGTGTGGGATTAAAAAAAGGGTCACGGACGCCCCCCAGACGACGGACCCGGACGCAGACGGACGGGCGCAGCGCAGACGGACGGACGCAGACGGACGCGCAGACGGACGAACGCTGGACGGACGACTG